TATTCCAGCCAGTTCGAGTACAGTAATCATAAAGTTCGGGATAGGCGCAAAATCGGAGAAACCGAGGGTGAGCTACTTCCTGAGATGAGATTCAAGAATATGAAGCTCCCAGGAGATCTTGACTACTCTATCGCTCATGCGATATATCTTCCTTTGGAGGGTCCACTTCTCAATCTCAAGCCTCTTGTGGTGGGCAGACAATTTCTCAATGCACTCCATTGCAACTTCGCGATCTGCTGGAGGAAGACCTTCTATCAAAGCGCATGGAACTCGGAGAGCAGACTTGAAATGGTGCAGTGACATCTCAGGCCGATCAGCCGGAGTGTTCGGAACATCTTCCTCGATAGTCTCGTTATCCGAAATAACTGGCATGCTCTCTCCACAGTGAAGCTCTGAATCCATACCTGCAAAAAGAAAAGGTTGGGAAATTAAGAGAAGTAGTATGCATGTTTATAGGAGGGGTCAACCAAATCAATATATCTCGAGGATCGATCTACTTTCCTAAATCAGAATTGATTATAGAAAATCACTGACCTTTCTCGGATACTCTCCTTCAATAGAAGATCCATGCATTAAAGACGTGGTTATCAGTAAAGATTTAAAAAGAAATTGAGAACAAGGCGTCATTTTTTTTATTAAAAAAGGGGTACATGTGGGATCGGGGCGCACGAGGTTCAAGTCTTAAAATATAAAATAGAGAGAAGGGGTTCAGAGATATCTACGGCAAGGGCTCGGGAACAGACTCCTTCATCGCTGCTTCGTTCTTTCTCCGTTTCGGGGGATTTCTTCCTCATCCTCCTCTTCCTCGGAAGAAAATTCTTTCACTGGGGCGCCAGCACGAAGTGGGTACGTAGTCGCAAGTTAGTATCTTATTCATGTGTTAGTTGCAAATCCTTCAGGTGGTTGTCGCTAAAGCGTGGCGAAATTGCGACCATTTTGTGACTACCAGTAAAAATGGTGAAAAACTTAACTTGCTTGAGAGTCGAACTGCATGCCTTAGAGCATCTCCAAAGGCAACCTCAAATCTTCAAATATAAGGTTTTTGGTTCTCCAAAGGCAACCTCAAAACCTCAAATTTTGAGGTTTCATCTTTTTTATTTGCATTTTGGTCCTCATAATTATTTATATCTTAGAAATACTTTTACTAATTTATTATTTTATCATATTAGTCCTTAAATTTTTATGTCTTATAAATAGAAAGTTCATTTTTTCATATAAAAATAAAGAAACACCTTAAAATAATATAAAATATTACATAACATTAAAAACAAATATTACACAATAACAATATTACATTAAGCAAATTTATTACACAAAATAAAACAAGAAAAGAAAATAAAATTACATGAAAACATAAATATTATACAAATTATATATTACAACAATACTAATATTCAGGTAAATTTGATCCCGAACCTCCAAGATCACCAAAATATGGTCCATAAAATTTGGTGAAATTGGAGATTGTTGTGGTTGTTCTTGATTTATTTTTTGTATGATTCTTGCTTGTTCAGATCGAATATACTCACGGGTATTACTATCAGCAATAGTGTGTAAATCTTTTAACAAGATTTTATTCTCCTCGTGCATTTCTTTTAGGGCTAACTTTTTTGCTTGATTTTGCATACGCAATTCAGCTAGCTCGTAACTTTTTTTCCCTACTTGCTGCACTTTCTTTTAAGAAATCTAGGATTTGTTTGTTTGAAGAAACCAAAGTGTCAACAGATGAATTATTACCTTCTGCAATCTTTCTTTGAGTTTTGCTTTCTTCGATCCAATGGGACGTTGTGATGAATTTGATCCACCATCTTCACTACTTAAATTGATTGAAAATGATGACATTCCTGGAGATTGTGATGTTGGAGAACTGGCGATATCGCTCTCGGTGTTAGGAGTATCTTGAATACCGACGCTAACATTGTCTGTGAACTTTGGGATATCCTTCAGCAAATTCCATACATGGTCGAATTTAAAACCTTTCTTTAGTTTCTCAACTTGTACCAACAATCTCTTGGCTTTTTCCATCTGCATAACATTTAGAACAAAAAATTTAGTTATTTACACAAACATATATCATATATAATTAGAGTAGAAAAAATTATATACTTACAATGTCAATTTCCGACGCACCACTTGGATACATATTCTCCACTTGGATTATGCAGCTCTTCAAATTCCTAACCGCATAAATAATAGTATTCATTCTACCTTGTAGTGACCTATTGCTTCTAATTTCCCAACTCCCATTTTTTTGACTATTGTAACCTTTTTTTAATTTTTTCCCATAATTTCCCTATAGCTTGGTTATTGCTACCAATGGGATCTTGTGATATTTCTAAATATACACGACACAATAACTCATCTTCTTGTTGAGTGAATGATGAGCCTCTATTTTTTTCCATATTGTTTATAAAATGAGTTGTTTGAAGTGTGATTTTTTCATTGCCTGAAGTGTATTATTTATACACGATAATGGATGTAAAAGATTTCAAATGAATGGCTACAAATCAATTTTCTAGATTTTCTTATCAAGTTGGATGGATTGGATATGATTTTAATCCAACGGCTGATAATGTGAGAGATCTAATGGATGGTGTAGATTAAATTAGAAAGATTTCCTTATCTTATCAAATAAAAAAATATATATCTATAAAAATGTATACATGGACGTTTCACAAACATCACAACATCACAACTTAGTAAAAATGAATTTTAATATTAGAGAGCCATCTTCTTTTATAAATTCGTCTTCTTCTTCAGACTCATCTGAGTTTGATGAATGGCTGATGAATGAAAATGCATCAACAGAGAGAGAAAAACAAATTGCAGCAAATTTGGATGTCAACAACAACCACCTTCTTCACCAAATTACTCAAGAAAGCGATCATGTAAGTCATCGAGGCTCTATTTATGGTCATGCAGTTATACAACGTGATAGAGAAAATGCTCATCTTAATTTGTTCAATGATTATTTTTCTAATAATCATGTGTATGGTGAGAGAGAGTTCCATCGTCGATTTCGAATGTCAAAGAGGTTATTTCTCCACATTGTTGATGCTGTTAAACAACATGACAACTACTTCACCCAACATCATCTTGTGACTGGTAAAATGGGCTTATCCACCCTCCAAAAAGTAACGGCTATTTTGATGCTGCAGATGAATACATCAAAATAGGAGAGTCTACAGTAATTGAATGCATGAAGAGATTTTGTCGCGCCATTGTAGAACTGTTCTCGGAGTGGTATCTCAGGTCACCAACATCAGAGGACGTTGCCCGACTTCTCAATATCGGCCAACAACATGGATTTCCTGGAATGCTGGGTAGTCTAGATTGTATGCATTGGAAGTGGAAAAATTGTCCAACTGCATGGGCAGGACAATTTGCAGGCCGTAGCGGATCACCCACAATAATTCTTGAAGTTGTGGCCGATTACGATCTATGGATATGGCATGCCTATTTTTGTATGCCAGGCAGCAACAACGATATTAATGTTTTGAATTCATCTAACTTATTTTCAAAACTTGCTCAAGGTATCGCTCCTCCAGCTAATTACATTATTCAGGGACAAGAGTACACCATGGGTTACTACATAGCTGATGGCATTTATCCGAAATGGTCAACTATTGTTCAGACTATAAGTGATCCTCAAAGTCCAAAGAAACAATTATTTGCAGCAAGACAAGAATCATGTCGGAAGGATGTTGAACGTGCGTTTGGAGTTCTACAATCCAAGTTTGCTATCATTACAGGAGCAGCACGTTATTGGAAAAAAGAGGTATTGCATGATATAATGACTGCGTGCATTATAATGCATAACATGATAATCGAGGATGAACGTGATATCACCGCACCGATTAGAGAAGCAAGATCAGTACCAGAGGCAACCGTGGAAATGACAATAAACGAAAATACTTGATTTCAACAATTTTTATCTCGTAATCTACAGATAAAAATAAAGAAACTCATCTAGCTCTTCGAAATGCATTGATTGATCATATATGGGAGCATTACGGAAATAATTAGGTTCAATAATTTTGTAATGTAGTTTTAATTTGAGATTTCGTTTGTGTTTTTATTATTATTTTGTGTAATTTTATTTTATAATGTAATATTTTATTAATTAATAATGTTTGTAATATTTTTAATGTATGTTTTATTGTTATTTATAAAAGTTTTATGATTTTATGTAATTATAATCAATAGCAAGGACTATTATGCAAAATACAAATTCTTTTGAAGTTAAATTTGAGGTTATCCTTTGGAGACACACAACCCTAAACCTCAAATTTGAGGTTTGGCAAACCTCAAATATAAGAGCATCTCCAATGGTGAGAGTCCCCCATGGGCTCTCACCAATTGTTTAAACATATTTTTTTTGAAATTTTTAGATGAGAACTTGTGTTTTTCTTTTTAAAATTTTCTTAGTCCAATGGTAGTTTCTCTAGTGGGTTCTTAGAAATTTTTTTTTTTGAAAATATTTTGATTTTGATGTAATTTGATGTTTGGTTTTGATGTAATTTGATGAATTAGGAAAAAATAATTGGAGTCATTGGTGTTTGGTGTAATTGGTGTTTCAATAGTTCATAATCACATCAAAAACTTGTCAAATGCAAATGAAAGATTCATGATCTACACATATTTTGATTTGAGTGTCTTGTCTCCTACTTAGCCTATACAAGATAGATCTACAAGAAGTGTTGTGTTTTGATATAACAATAACAAGAAGAAGTGTTGTATATATAGAGAAAAGGAGGGTGTACAATCATTCAAAAATATGCAGACTGCAAATCATTCACCCTCTTCACGTTTTGGAGAATCTCAGGTCCATCCTATGTGTTTTTCTCTGTTTAATTGGTCCTCAAACTCATCCCAAGCATCATTACACATGAAAACTGCAAATCACAACCAACAAAAATTTGAGCTTAATGATTCTTAGTTCTAATGATATAACTTAATAAGGAAGCAGCAACACTCTTTTCGATATTCTTGATAGACATATCAACCAATTCCGGGATATGATCCACACCAACAATGCATCCCTCAGCTCCAACCATCAAAGCAATGCCAAATAACAAACACAAGCTAACATATTAAAAATCGTCTATGAGCACAAAATCAGTTACACAACGCAGAGAAACACCAAATAACCCATTTTAGAACAAGTTTCTACCTTATGTGTTGAGAATAAACTGAAGCAGAGATTCCTGGCGAGAGAGAACATAAATCCATGTGGAAGAAGAGAGCACCGGAGAAGCAAGAGAGATTGAGATTAAGAAACTATGAATCCTAAATCAAACATTCAACGACTCATCCACTTCAATCATACCAAATAACAAACACATAACGTCCAATGTATTTAGAAAACCACTTATCGATGCTTAGAACAAAAACCTTAAAACGAACATCAAATTCCCCAAATTAAATCATGATAAACTTCATAAAAGAAGTAGATTCTTACCAATTACGAGCTTCGTCATCGATTCTCTGATTTGATTCATCTTTCACCGGCGCTCGTGACCACCGGCTCTGCAAATGACGAAATCGGCCCAACCACTGCTCGACCTTGATATCGACTGCTTCAATTGAACCTCAATCTTCGGAGCAAAATTCCGGCTCCGTCGCCGTCACCTTCGCCATCGTTTGGTTTTGTTTCGCTAGAGAGAAAGAAAGAGAGAGCGTATCGAGAGAAAACGAAGGTTTTTTTCGACGCGTTTTTTTTCTTTTCAGTTTTGTCAAATAAAACGCCCAATTAGAACGTGACACGTACACGTCTCTCATCTCATCTAAAGTTTCTCACAAGAGAGCACAAGAGAGACAACTCTCTCCATTAAAATTGTTTCTGAATTATTTTTTCACAAATTTGCTGAGAGAAACCATTGAGAGAACCCAAAAATTGAGCCATTGGAGATGCTCTAAGGTCCCCTTTGGAGATGCTCTTAGAGTGTATTGCAAGGTATATTACCGAATTGCCAATTCATTCATTCGTTAAATTAGTCAACATATAAATAGATAAAAGTTTTATTGAAGTATAATCTTAAACTTGAGTATGAATTATAACATAAAGATTAAAAAAAAACTTGTGACCGAATATTTAGTTGCAATCAGTAATTTGCGACTCTTTCTTTTGACTAAAACCGTAGTCGCTAAATCGACTCAAATTGCGATTATTTTACGTCTATATTGCTTGGGTCGCAAAAAAGTCAGATAATAGTCAAGACACTGGAACTCTTTGGCGATGACTTTATTGCGTCGTAAAGTTGCGACAATTTTGCTTCTATCTTTTTGGTAGTCGCTGAGTAGTCTTAAAATAGTCACAAATTAGTTGTTCTTTTTTGCGACCAACAAAAGCGTCACAAAGCTTAGTCCCAAAATGCAGGTTTTTTTTTTGTAGCTTTGACGCTTTGCTCTGTTCTTTAATTTACTCTTTTTTTTTCATCCCATCTTTGATTTCTTCTTCTCATCAAGCTTTTTTCTTGCTGCAAGGTTTAATCAAAGGACTTTTTCAGCTTTTAAAGTTGTTAGCTTGTCTTGTTTACTGTGAATATGTTTCCAAATTACACCACAAAAATCCCATCTTTGTAAATTTTTCAAATAATAATTTCAATAAAAAAATGTTATTTCTTAAGTTCTTCTATGAGCTTTTGGACTCTCTCATGTTCATCTACTCACTTGGCCACGTTGATATATAAACCAAAAACCAAGATTGACAAAAAATAATTTTGATTTCGGGTAATTGAGAAAGTTCTCTGGCGACGAAAATTTTGGGAAAAAGAGAAAGAAATCAAAACCAAAACGACAAGAATTAATTGGATTCGAAACTAGCAGAGAGGTAAGTTGTAGTTGGAGAGAACTTTCCAATCTTCAAGAACAAGGTAAGTGAGGCAGGAGACTTGTCAAATGTTCTTGGAGAATCTTGTCTTTGATATGCAGAATTCGAGAATACTACAGTTTCTAATACATGGATTAGCATACAAGTTACCGTAAAACCAAGGGCTACACACTTCTTAAAATCATCAGTAACTTAAACAGTAGCTGGAACTTTGGAGTCCACTGATTTGAGAACCTCCTCACCCATTTCCTTGCATCCCACCAGTTTCTGCATTTTCAAAACACAAAAGACTTTTCAAGTATATTGTCACTAACTTGTACAAAACAAATGACAGAAATCATCATACACATACATTTCCAGGGGAGTAGATGTCTCCGGTTCTGAAACCTTTGTTCAGAGCATCCAAGACCGCGTCTTCAATCCTCTTTGCAGCCTTTTCTTCTCCAAGTCCATACTTGAGAAGCATCGCCGCACTGAGAATGGTGGCCAATGGGTTTGCCTTGTCTTGTCCAGCTATATCTGGTGCTGAACCATGTATAGGTTCAAAGAGTCCAGGTCCCTAGTTTCATCACAAGTTTAACAATCAATATAACATGAGGAACCTTGAAATATGATTAGATTTAGTCTTATTTACCGATTCACCAAGACTTGCAGATGGAAGCATCCCAATGCTTCCAGTGATCATTGAAGCTTCATCAGACAATATATCACCAAAAATGTTATTGGTGACGATTGTGTCAAACTGCAATGTTTTAAAAACGCCGTGAGTACTAGTTCCACTTGTGTGTTACCTTTAAACATGGGCGAAGATCGATCACCTGTTTCGGGTAACGGATAAGCTGCATTGCAGCATTATCCACATACATATGTGATAGTTCAACATCTGGATATTCAGAGGCTAAAGCTGTTACTCTTTTCCTCCACAATATTGATGCCTAAATGAAACAAAACAAAAAATTTTGTATTACGAAAAACAAACAAGAGTGTCAAAACAAGAGTGTCAAAACATACATCCAACACATTGGCTTTATCGACAGAACACAGCTTGCCACGCCTTTTCCTAGCAGTCTCGAATGCAACACGAGCAATTCTGTCAATCTGAAGAAGATAAAGCAATGCGTTAATACATTGCTCACAGAGCAGATTGTGAAGATCGAGTTAGTACCTCGTGAGCTGCGTAGATCTCTGTATTAACACCGACTTCTTCGCCATTTTCATTGATGGTAATGCCTCTTGGCTCTCCAAAGTAAATACCTCCAGTGAGCTCCCTTACAATCATCATATCAACACCTTGTGCTACTTCTTTCTTCAATGTGGAAGCATCAACTAGCTGAACAAACAAAAACAACAGAAAAAATTTGAGTATATTTACAACTACAAGCAAAAGTGACAATAAGCAAATCAAAACCTGTGGCAAAACTGTAGCAGGTCTCAAATTAGCAAAGACTTTGAGATCTCTTCGAAGGTGTAAGAGACCCATCTCAGGTCTCAGATGTTTCTCATTCTTGTCCCATTTGTAACCTCCGATAGCTCCAAGAAGAACGGCATCAGACTGTTTTGCAGCGGTGGAAGTTTCCTCCGGCAGAGGAACTCCGACCAAATCCAAGGCTGCTCCTCCGAAAGGCATCTCCTGGAAATCAAACTCCAGTCCTTGGAGAAATCCAGCTTTCTGAAGCACATTCTTAGCAACAGATATTACTTCTGGACCGATGCCATCGCCGGGAAGCAGAGCGATGTTATACCGTTTTTTCACCGGTGAAGCGGCGGCGCACCTAATTCGATACGGCGCACGAAACTTATGATCGGTATATCTTCCCGGGACGATCTTGATCGAATCCAGAGTGATGTTAGTTTGCAAAAACGCCGCCATCTTTTTTTGGAGTTTGGAATTGTGACCAGTGAGTGTCACACTAGTTATACACCATAGGGCACCTCCATCGACCATTGTCTCCATTGGCAAGGAGACCGGTTATCTCTGGTTATTGGTTTACCTGATCTTGGTTCAATGTTCTCATTCTTTTTTATGTATCTTATTTTATCTTATTATATAAAATATGATTTTCAAAAGTTAGTAAAATCGTGCAACGTGTTAAATTTATCGATCTCAGATTTTTACACGTGTAAATCAAAAATTTATATAAGAAAACAATATGTACTTGTCAAATTTATCGATCCCATCTCAATATTTTAACACGTGTAAAATAAAAATCTCTTTTAATTTATTTAAGAAAAAAATTCATAAGGAAAGTATACGTATATATCTTATATAAAAATAATCGAAAAATCAAAAGAAGATAATTATAAGGAAACTATATGGATCTTATTAAATAAAAATGACAATTTAACAAAACAAAAATTTTCTTTTAACAATTTTAAAATTATAAAAAGAGAACTGTAAGAAATTATAAAATTAAACAGTCTTTAAAATATAAAACTATAATTATAATGAAACTATACATAAATTTTCTATAAAAATAAAAATATAGAAAGATAATTATAAGGAAGCTATACATATAAAATTATAAGGAAAATATTATAAAATAGAAATTATAAAATTATTTACTAATTCTAATTTTAAGTTACTAATTCTCAAAAAAAAAGTATTTAGGAAATTATATAATTAATTAATATCCTACAAACGATTGTAAATACTTAACTCTATATAAACAAATAGAATGTTCATATTTTTTCACCTAACAAAATAAATTCTTCAAAAACACCACTATTGATACAATTACTTCGTTCTAATGGTTAAGCTTTACTTTTTTCGTAAAAAAAAAATTATTTAGAACGTCATACATTCAATTTTAATGTCTAAAAGATCATATACGTTCTATTGATATATGTTCTATGGACCATATGGTCATTGGCTTTTTAGGTTTTCAATAGTGAGAGGTGGTGGATTCACCGAGCAAAGCGAGTGTACACTAAACTTGCAAACAGATTAATGATAGTATATACCGTAAATATTTACTATATAAAACTTGGTTTTCAAATTTAGAAAGTTATTATATAAATTTTGGTTTGCGAAGTTAGTAATTAATATGATCGTGACACGTGTCAACTCTATCGATCATATTTTGACACGTGTAAAAAAGAAAAAATATATATATATTTATAATATATTAAAAATTCTAAAAGTAAACGGATTAATATTTTTTTTAAAAGAGAATTTGATACATGTAAAAAAAATTATATAAACAAAAAGAAAGTTGTGGAAGCCCCCTTGGCCCATTGGTTGACCAAGGGTTAATTAATGCTTCTACACCAAGAGGTCTGGGGTTGGAGTCCCAGATATTGCGATTTATTAATAAATTTGCAGATTAAAGGAGGCAAGTGTGCAGGAGATCTCCAGCGAAGTACAATTATAGCCATTCGCCAGGATTCTACGCAGAGAGAGAAGTGTCGTCAGGTCGTGGATCATTGAAGGTGTCCGTCAAGAGCATGGAGAAGGAAGTGTCGACTGTCATGGATCTAATAAGGGTCGGAAGGAATTGTCCGTTGTAGAATCGTCTATGTAACAGTTCTCATAATTTGCAATAAATAATAAATCTAGACGTCAAAAAAAATAAAATAAAAAGAAAGTTACAATATATTACAAATCCTAAAAGTTAAAGAATTACTATTACTTTTTTTTTCCTAAAAGATATAGAAGATATATATAAAAAAAATTATGAATAAATAACAAATCTTAAAAGTAAAAGAACCTTTCTTAAACGTATATATAAAAAAGATAATATAGCAAATTACTAATCGTATAGTATATTTTTGAGTCAACAATTTTAGTAGTTAAAGAAACTATGTAAAAGTGAAAGTAAAGAGACATATATTTTGGCTTAATGTGTTCATAGAGACATTTTGTAGGTAGTCGTAAAGAGCATACTTTAACATCTAAAAAATATATGAATGTAAAAACACTTTTTAGTGGTAAAATAAATAGTAAATTTGGTAATAGATGTAAATAAGATGACGGGTTAACTAGTGGTTTGCATCTAAAATATTTTCTAAAAAAGTTGTTGAATTATTGTAAGCGAGATGATAAAACTATGGTTTTCAAGATTTGACAATAATAATAATGATAAAAATTTGGAAAAAATTTTGGTGATTAATAATTTATTTTATTGGAATATTGTAATAAACATTACAATAAATCTAAAATATACAAATGCAAATGGTTTATTAAGACAAAAGAATAAATATATGAATAACTTTTTTCTCTAACTAAAAAATTATATATATTTTAAAAATAATTTCTACTTACAACCAAATTTCTAATCTAATTTATTTTGTTAAATTTGATTTTAGTTAAAAACATTTAAACCCGTCCATCGGACGGGTCCTAATCTAGTTATATAAAAAGTATGGTTTTCAAATTATTCATACGATCGTGGCACCTATCAAATTCATCGATCTGTGACACTAGTTAAACAAAAAATTCCTCTTACTTATTATAAATAAAACTATACGTACGTGTCAAATTTATCGATTTTAGATTTTAACACGTATAAAACAAAAAAGAATATTGATTTTGAAAAAACATTATACGTATATATCTTATATATAAAATTCTAAAAATCTAAAGAAAATAATTATAAGGAAACTAGATGTATCTTATTAAATAAAAACAGAAATTTAAGAAAAAATAATAATTGTTTGGTATATAATAATATCAAATTCAACCCTTACGTGGAGTTATTATTTTCAGATTATAATCCCAATGAAAAAATTGCTTGTACAATCCATCATTCGTTATTTTTAAAATTAGTTATAGAATCAAATTTTTAAATATTTAGAAGTGTCAAATCTTATTTAAACTATGTTATCATATAACCTTAACATATCGTCTGTTAAAGAGATTATAATTTTTTTTTATCATATAATACATTATATTTAATCCGTGCTAGAAAAAATAAATTAAATATTTATGATATTATTTAAAAATATCAAGTTAAACTATTTTTAAGTATTCCTAATTAAAATATTTTAACAATTTTATTGTAGTATATAAATGTATTGATCTTCAACTATAGTTCAACTAGATCATATATCATGGATGAGCCTTAGTCTCGACGAGTTCTAGTTAGATATAATAGAACATGCCCGACCCTACTTGTGTCAATGCCGAAACATAAAACCAAAACAAGTCAAAAAAATCATTACAATAATGTAATTCTTAAATAACAAAGTATGTCATTAATAGTAAATTGCAGAAAATGGTCGACTTATAGTTTTTACAGAGTGTGGGGTCAAATACTTGGAATGGCTGGCTAATCCAGTCGTCCTCATAAAAATCATAACAATTCATAAACAACATACACATAAGTATCCAAAAATTACCAAAGATAATCCATAATAAGCTTTCAACTTTGAAAGATTTGATTGCTGGCCAGATTTACTGTTAACGTACTGCTGCAATTTCTCGATCTCATGATTCAGAGACTCAAAAACTTGCACAACTATAAAATATTCAATATAAAATTCTTAATTTGCAAATTTAAGTCGGAGCTAAATCAAACAAAATTTGCACTTAATTTACAAATTCTTAATTTTACAAGTTAAATAAATTAATATGATTATTGTATTTGTACACTTAATTTGCAACCTTAGGTTGGAAATAATGAACTCTCTAAATATCTAATTGGAATTCAGATGATAGTTAATGACTAAATTCTTTATTGTTGTCGGAGTTTACTCGTAGGTAGACTAAGTCAATTACTGTGACCCAAGAAAATACAAAGGATCAGAAATAACCATACATATAAAAGTATTGTATAGGTACAATAAAATTTGTTTAAACTTTTTTGAAAACAAGTCAACGATGATTCTCTAATTTGTATTGCTAAAATGAGTGGTTCATTCAAAATTAGCAAAAATGAGGAAAGAATGGAAAGGTAATGATAAGGTTGCCATACAACCCATACCTAACTCTCAACTATATCTCAACCCCCATTCATTTAATTTAACTATTAAGCCATTACTATTATTTCTTTGTCAACGAGACATTACTAATCCTCTTTTTTTTCCGTCAAAATAACTTAAATTAATTGAAAAGATCATTGTACAATTCATTAACAATCCAAGAAGGAGGATTAGTGCTATCAAAATTAAAACTAGATCTTATGCTGCCATTGAGCTATAAATTATGAGCTACTTCAATACAACTACGGTTAATATAATCGAAACGAATTTCTTAAAACTTTGTTGCCCAGAACTTGATATCGAGAAGGAGTCCTGCAATAAATACATCCGATAGTCCATTATTGATATTGTTAATCAAAGTTTCTTAGTCCCCTTTGAAGTGAGGTTGCGTGAAACCCCCGGCTCCAAGTCCTCATTTTTAATCTTATTTTAAATAATCAAACAAACTGAAGAACCAGATTTGGTTTTTTTTTTGGCGATTTTCATTTATCCTATACTATTATTTGGGGAGTACAATTTATGGATTACCCTTAATTAACCTTCCTCTTTGTAAGAATTTACGTAAGAATGCCATTAGAAATAAAATTTTATAGAGTAAATTAATTCAACTCATTAAGGATAAACAAGTCAAATACTATTTTATGTAATTTAATTAATTTAATTTAATTATAAAAACGAAAATCTATTATTAATTTCTTTAAAAAGAATGACCAATCAAAATGAACATATAAGATTTGATATCTAACTTACCATATTAATTTGTTATTAATCATTATACTTCACCTCTCATCTTTATATGATTCTATTTCTATAAATAAATAAATCATTATATCATCTATATAATAAAAAAAAAGTAAATTTTTTCCGCATAAACCAAGATTTCAATTTTTAAAAACGAATAGAAATTATTCAATGTATGAAAGAACAAATTTAACGGGTCAAAAATTCATATTTGAGTAATATATTCCTTTTTTTTTAATATCATCAATACTTAATAAATCAAAAATTTATGAACTATAAATACTCTAATTTGATTTTTTGAAACAAATATTTATAATAGGCGGCGGGTTGAATATAATATATTATATGATGAAATGAGTTATGATCCTTATAACTATTGAATATTTATATTTAATTTCATATCATTTTTTTAAAATTCATAATTTTACATAATACCATAAAAATTTTTTAATAATTTTAATTTGGAACATTTTAAAATAGTTTAATTTAATATATTAAAGAATATCATAAATATTTAATAGATTAGAAAGATTAAAAAAAATTATAAATACATTAATTTGATTTTCTAAAAAGATATGTTTAAAACATTTATAGTAGGCGGCGGGTTAAATGTAATGTATTATATGGTAGAAAGTTATGATCCTTATAACAGACGGCATTTTAAGATTTTATGATGAGATGAGTTAAATAAGGTTTGACACTTCTAAATATTTGAAAATTTGATTCTGCAAGCAATTTTGAAAATAATAAATAATAGATTGTGCCGCAATATTTTCATACGGATTGTAAAATGAAAATATAGAATCCACACACGGATTGAATTTGGTATTATTATATACCAAATATATGTTCATAACATATTTGATTATGTGAATAATTGGTAAATTCCGTAATTAGCTCAAACAAATCTCTATTTCAACAACCAATGAATCAAAATTTGAAAAAATAATTTTCTAAATTAATTCAAAATAATAGCTAATTTTCTTAAGTAATTCAAAATAATCTACGTTTTAGATGCGATTCATTTATGATATTTTGATTTTTGATCTAACTAAATTATATGCACTCTCATTTTGTGGTTGTTAACATAAATTAACTCATTGTTCAAACAATATTAATTTTTTTTTAAAATAATCTTATTTTCCGTTTTCATATCTTAAAAAAAAATATCCATAATTGAATACTATAGGAAAAAATATATTCATTCTAATATTATATATAGGGACTGACAAAAAAATATTATTTTTTCACTTACTATTATAATATATCATAACTTTATTCTAAAACATAAAATTTATAAATTTTGTAATAAATGAAATTCAACCCGTACTGTAGTACGGGTGATGATCTAGTTTTTATGTAAAACAAACAGTGGAATAATTGATTTAAAAAAAAATTATTCGTACAAATAAGAAACTTAATATTGGAAACATTAAACTTGAATGCCTTTCTATCACTAAAACATAAAATGTAAACTAAATTTTAAAGATCAATATGTAATATTATAAAATGTTTTAGAAACTGAATTCAACATATCTTATTGGTCAAACATTTTTACTATCTAACAAATTAAATTAACGATCTGATGATTGATTCTAAGGATTATTACTTCTAAGATAATATAAATTATCGCTTTATTAAAAGAGAAATTTTATGTATTAAAACTACTGCTTTATATCACTTCTACTGAAGTGATGTCAAATTATTTTATCACAACATCAATTCTTATAACTGATGCTAAACCAAATCTTTTGTATTATCTATCAATACGTTTATTAATACGTAATTTTTAAATTGATATTGTTTATTTTTTGTGATACTATATAAGTGATGCAATCAACCATTTTTCTTGTATTGTATGAAAATGATTTGTCTAAAATCATATATCAGGTAATCAAAGAGATAGATGCACATGTACTAAATTAAAGGATATCTATACATATGAGAATATGTCTCTTATTTAAAACCATCGATATGGCTAGGATCACAATCACCAACACCTCTACGGCTCGGATCATGCTCCCACAAAGAACTACTACATCTTACATGAGAGATCCCGAACTATTGCTTAGAGCCTCAAAGATAATTCTATCTGACTATGAGAGTCTCCCGAATCCTTATCCCTCACTTTTTGAGAAACCGTGGTTTAAACTGTTTTCCTTTATGGAGAAACTATCTATCCCCCCTCCTCCTATATGGAGAGAACTCTATTTACAAGTTTTTGTCCTTGGCTTTCGGCTTTACAAACCGTGTAAGCGTCCAATCTTCATTACCTTTGTGATACTTTGTGTAGAACATCTCGCGTCGATGAGGATAAAGGTTTTGAAATCGTCTTCAACGTGACAACGTCACTATGTCAATCGACGAACGTGACTATCACCTCACCTCCCGAAATTCTCGTGGAAGTGCTTTCGACTCGCCATGGATTTGCTTGTGCCAATTTGCTTTCTAGCTTTTGCCTCCAAGCGCTTATGGATCACCGGTCGAATTACCTTTATCTATCGTTTTGTAGCATTGGGGAATGCTCTTTCTTTTCATGTTATTAACATTGGGATCTTTGAATCCTTCCTATCATTGTACTTTGATTTGGTTTGTTTGTTTGAATGAATGAAATCGAGTATTTGCACAAAAAAAAAAAAAGTTTAAAACCATTGATATAGGGAGTTGTGATGATATCTGTATATTGTAAATGATTTTGTTTTTAAGATGCATGGTTTGCAACACAATGCTTCTATGAATTGAAATAGACGATATAGTCTGGAATGTGGTAAATGTTATTATCCTTAGCTTAACATGGCCATGCATATTTTTATGAGATGACCTCATGATAGTATGAGGTAGGTAGATGAAGGATTGGTAAAAAGCTATGAAATGATTTTACATGACTAACTTTTTTTTTGATAAACAAAGAAATATACATGACTAACTTGAACTTTTGTTATTGCATATTTCATATGATGGATGCAACACTAATCTAGATCTTGGTCCAATATACGTTCTACTCAATGAGAAACCCTAATAACAGAAAAAAAAAAAACATTTGAAACAAAAAATTCCAAGCAAGAGTAAAATAAAATGTTGGTCACCTCTTACCAAAAAAAAAAATAAAATGTTGGTCACCTAAACCACCCAACCCTGCGTCAACGACTCAACAAGCAAATACAATTCCTCTTGGCTTTAAATTTATATAGTATTATATGGCACATTCCTAAGACAATATTAAATATATTGTTTTGAAAACGGAAATAGACCGACCAAATAAACGAAATAATAAATCTCATACAATGCGATCCCTTTGCCATGGCCTCTTCTCTTGTGACGTATTTGAAGTTCATTTATCACAGACCGTAGAAATTTACTGTCTTCTTTATGGCTTACCTAATACTATTTTAAAATAGATTTCTTTCATTGCTTAACAAATCTATACTATTCTTTTATTCGGCACAAATCTATGTTTTTGCTAATATTCAAATAGATGTCTCGATCAATAAGTACTCCATCGTTGAGAGATCGTTATGCAGTGAACCATTTTTTGTTCACGTATGTAGTAAACTTTTAAATAAGAAATTTATGAAATAACACATAAATTAAAGAAATTAATTATACAGTACACAAAAACAAAGTATATAATAATAAATTGCCTACCCAAAAAAAAGTACATAATAATAAATTAAAGTTAGCTAAATAGAATATAATTCTAAAGACAATAAAGAATAATATTTCTTGATTTGGCTTGCGAATATATATACAGAAAAAAGTTTCCAACAAGTTAAATGTATCTTAACATAAAGCACTAAGAATGGTATATTAATTTAAATATAACCTAAAAAACTATGCAATAGATTTTTTTGTGACCGAAGATGATCGTACATTCTTTCAAATTAGTTAAACTCAAGAAAATTTTGCATTCTGATTTTTTTTTGTTGGTTAATTTATAATTAACTCTACTTCTTTATCTTTTTCTGTTTTTTGTGGTAGACATTGTAAATCTTATATTAAAAAAAATTGGTAATATAGCATATCTCTAAAAACTACATACACTAATGAAAACTAAAATATCCGGGAAAACTAAACCAACGAAAAATATTATAATCTCCAAAGATATCTGCTAAACTTAAGTTTTTATCGATTAAATCTAATCATATTCACTGGTTTTTTTTTTACGAAAACAGAAATTTGTACAAATTTCAGAGAATTTTTCTGGTATTCATATGTTTTATTGGGTTTGGTAAATAAAAAACATTATACCAAAATTTCGAATAAAACTTTGTATAATAAAATGAGAACCATTGGAAATAAATGTATAGCGGAAAAAACAAGAGTGGAAGATGAAAAGAGGTAGCTGAGGAACAACTACGGCGCCTCCTAACAAAAAGGGATCGAAAAAAAACAATGGAGAAGGTGTGGAGTGTGGCGGAGGCAGAGACCACGTGCTCTCTCTTCTCTTCTTCTCCTTCGTTTTCTTCTTCTTCCTCTCTTCTTCATCTCCCATTATTATTAACTCTTTTGACCCCACCTTCCTTCTCCTCTTCTAACTCCAACCTACCCTCTTCTCTCTTCTCTTTAAACCCTTGTCTCTCTCTCTCTTTCTCTCTCATTCTCTTTCATGTCTTCTGTGTTATTCTTTAGGTAAACCACCCACAATTCTCTGACTCCTCTTTAAGCCAATTTGTGTCATTCAAGGTTTGAAGTTTGCTTCTTTTGCTGATTTTGTCATCTGGGTGTTTTAAAGTTTTGATTTTTATGGTTTAGCAATCAGAATTTGGACTTGTTTTTGTGATTTCAAATTCTGTTTTTAGAGTTGGGTAAAGACTTCAATTTTCTGGAATTTTCAATTGTGGGGTTTTAATCATTAGTTCTTTTCTGAGATCTCTCAGATTTCTTAAGGAACTCATTATTATTGGGTAATGATACTTTCTTACTTGCAAGATCTTTGCTTATGATTGTGTTTTGCTTTTTCTATACTTTTTGTTTCTTCATGTGAATACGCAAAACATTGCTGTCATCTTTGTTAATTCCACCTTGTATCTTCATATGAATGAACTCTGAAGCATCTTTGTTTGTGAGATTAAGCAACCGAAACCTGGTTGTTTTTATAGTCCTGTTATGCTCTTACAAGTCATTTTGTTAGATAGCATCTTTTTGTTGCTCAATTTCTGTCTGGAAGTACAATTCTGAGACGATGTTGCTACACATTTCTTTGTAAAGTGATTCAGTATGTGTTTATGACTGTTTTACAGATATATCTGAAGCTTAAAGGACAGTGACAATGGCTGGCTCGGTTAACGGGTATCAGAGTGCTATCGGACCTGGTATAAATTATGAGACGGTGTCTCAAGTTGATGAGTTCTGTAAATCACTTGGAGGAAAAAGGCCGATCCATAGTATTTTGATCGCTAATAATGGAATGGCGGCTGTCAAGTTTATACGTAGCGTCAGAACGTGGGCTTACGAAACATTTGGTACGGAAAAAGCCATATTGTTGGTGGGGATGGCGACCCCTGAAGACATGCGGATCAATGCGGAGCATATCAGAATCGCTGATCAGTTTGTTGAGGTTCCGGGAGGAACCAACAATAACAATTATGCTAACGTTCAGCTTATTGTGGAGGTGAATTATCCTGTTTTACTGTACAGAACACATGAATTAAGCTCAACATCAGCAAGAAAGTTGTCGTCTTTGGAGTTATTTTTCATTCATATTTTTCTAAAACCTGTGTGCAGATGGCTGAGGTAACACGTGTGGATGCAGTTTGGCCTGGTTGGGGTCATGCATCTGAAAATCCTGAATTACCTGATGCTCTAGATGCAAAAGGAATAATATTTCTTGGTCCTCCAGCATCTTCAATGGCAGCACTAGGAGATAAGATTGGTTCTTCGTTGATTGCACAAGCTGCTGATGTACCTACTCTGCCATGGAGTGGTTCCCATGTAAGTAAATTTACTCCTGTTAAGGTTAGCTTGTTTACCAGAGTTATATTGTTATTTTCTAAATAGTGAATTCCTATGTTTGCAGGTTAAAATACCTCCTAATAGTAACTTGGTAACCATCCCCGAGGAGATCTACCGGCAAGCATGTGTCTACACTACTGAAGAAGCGATTGCTAGCTGTCAAGTTGTCGGTTACCCAGCAATGATCAAAGCGTCGTGGGGTGGTGGCGGTAAAGGCATTAGGAAGGTCAGCTTGTGTAGACATGCCTTTTGATTGTAGAATAAGCCGATTACCACAGAAGTATACTTATTCTGGTTTGAAATTTTTAGGTCCATAATGATGATGAGGTTAGGGCACTATTCAAGCAAGTTCAGGGTGAGGTCCCAGGCTCACCGATATTCATAATGAAGGTTGCGTCACAGGTATGGCTACTTAACTATATCTCTTGATCTAAGCATAGCTGAGTTCTTATATGGTTACTTTACTAGAGAATTTAACGCAGTAATGCATTGCTTTTCTTTACATTTCATTTTTCTATTTTTTTTGTATAGAGTCGGCATTTAGAGGTCCAGCTGCTCTGTGACAAGTATGGAAATGTTTCAGCTCTGCATAGCCGTGATTGTAGCGTCCAGAGAAGACATCAAAAGGTTTGTTAGTGGTTGATTCTGGATTTTTTTAATTGTCTGGTTATGTAGAACAACATTCTGTCTAATTTATTCTTATATGGTTATGTACATCAATTTTTATTCTCCAACTGAGTTATAGTCCCTTTTGGCGATGGTAAATTATTGCATGAGCTCTTACTTTATCGTTTGTATCATAGATCATAGAGGAAGGTCCAATCACTGTGGCTCCGCAAGAAACCGTGAAGAAACTTGAGCAAGCAGCTAGAAGGTTGGCTAAGAGTGTTAACTATGTTGGAGCTGCTACTGTTGAGTATCTCTACAGTATGGACACTGGGGAGTACTACTTCTTAGAGCTTAACCCTCGCTTACAGGTTGGTTTCATACTACAGCTTTTTGCTTTGAAATCTATTAAAAGGTTTGGACTTGAAAATTGAATGACTTGTTTAATTTGATGTTTGAGGTCAGGTTGAGCACCCTGTAACTGAGTGGATTGCCGAGATAAATCTTCCTGCTGCCCAAGTTGCTGTGGGGATGGGAATTCCTCTCTGGCAAATCCCTGGTATAATCTGCATCCTTATGTTTAGAGGCAGATGTTCCTCTTCTTTATCCATGCACACGAGTAATGTACTATCTGTTTCTCTTTGATTTCGAAGAGATAAGACGGTTCTATGGTATAGAACATGGTGGGGGTTATGATTCTTGGAGAAAAACATCTGTTGTAGCCTTCGCTTTTGACTTTGATAAAGCTGAATCTATAAGGCCAAAAGGTCATTGTGTGGCTGTACGTGTGACAAGTGAGGATCCTGATGACGGGTTCAAACCAACCAGCGGTAGAGTTCAGGTAATGTGATATCTGTGGAATGCAAAGTTATAAAGTTCATTCACTGAGAACTGTGTGGGTAACACTTGTATGAACTTGCAACAGGAATTGAGTTTTAAGAGCAAGCCAAATGTGTGGGCGTACTTCTCTGTCAAGGTAATTATATCTATAGACACTCTGCTATTTAACGTGTTTCGCTATGTTTTAAATCTTACGACTACTTTTTTACAGTCTGGTGGTGGCATTCACGAGTTCTCGGATTCCCAGTTTGGTAAGTTGAATGAAATAAATGTATTTGGGCTGCTAGGTTCTTTTCTTGAGTTTACAAGTTGAAACTTCCTTTAATCTTTTATTCAGGACATGTTTTTGCATTTGGGGAATCCAGAGCCCTGGCGATAGCGAATATGGTTCTTGGGCTAAAAGAAATTCAAATCCGTGGAGAAATTAGGACTAACGTTGACTACACGATCGACCTTTTACATGTACCTTTCCTTCTTGCACACAAAATTTACACTCTGTGTTTACAATACCCTGACAAGATCATTTCAATTGTTAACCAGGCTTCTGATTACCGAGAAAACAAAATTCACACTGGTTGGTTGGATAGTAGGATTGCTATGCGGGTCAGAGCTGAGAGGCCTCCATGGTATCTCTCTGTTGTCGGTGGGGCTCTCTATGTAAGAACCTCTTTCTCAGAGATTTATTTGTCTTGAAAAGTTTCTATCTGGTGACGAGATGTTTTATTTGTCCAGAAAGCATCAGCGACCAGTGCTGCTGTGGTTTCAGATTACGTTGGTTATCTGGAGAAGGGGCAAATTCCCCCAAAGGTAATCCAATATCAGCGCTCTCTTGTGCCTTTTTAGTAATGTTCTTGTAGCTTACTTTTTCTCTCTTAACTTGCAGCATATATCTCTTGTACATTCTCAAGTGTCTCTGAATATTGAAGGAAGTAAATATACGGTATGCGCCTACTATCAAAATTTTACTTCTCTGCATTTCTTCCTTTCCTCTGCCATATTATTTTTGCACTGAAGATGTTGTAACCGAGGCTCACTAACCTGAATATAACTGTTTCTAGATTGATGTAGTCCGGGGTGGATCAGGAACCTACAGGCTAAGAATGAACAACTCAGAAGTTGTAGCAGAAATACACACTCTACGTGATGGAGGTCTGTTGATGCAGGCAAGTTTTATATCTTTATTCTATACTACAAGACAAGGACATACATGTATCACTCATAAAAAAAACTTCTGGAGAATCTTACTTTCTTTTCTTGTTTTCGCTGTTGCAGTTGGATGGCAAAAGCCATGTGATATATGCAGAGGAAGAAGCTGCAGGAACTCGTCTTCTCATTGATGGAAGAACTTGTTTGCTACAGGTTTCCAATGTTTTGTTTTGTGTGTTTACCATATTACTTTACGTTTCTCTGAAGTCATTTGTAGCTTTAAGCTGTCTGTCAATTTTGGCTTATTCAGAATGACCACGATCCATCAAAGTTGATGGCTGAGACACCGTGCAAGTTGCTGAGGTATTTGGTTTCCGACAACAGCAATATTGATGCTGATACGCCTTATGCCGAAGTTGAGGTCATGAAGATGTGCATGCCACTTCTTTCACCTGCTTCAGGAGTTATCCATTTTAAAATGTCTGAAGGACAAGCCATGCAGGTGAAAATTCGCTCCATTGCTAAACAAAAATCCTGCAGTTTTGTCGAAAATTGATTAACCCATCCGTTATTTTTTTCACAGGCTGGTGAACTTATAGCCAAGCTTGATCTTGATGATCCTTCTGCTGTAAGAAAGGCCGAACCCTTCCATGGAAGTTTCCCAAGATTAGGGCTTCCAACCGCAATTTCCGGTAAAGTTCATCAGAGATGTGCTGCAACATTAAATGCTGCCCGCATGATTCTTGCCGGATATGAGCATAAAGTTGATGAGGTAAACACTATTTGTTTTTCCTATTTAATCCAACTTTTCTATTAGATTATTTGAGTCTATTATTGCTCATATATTGCAGGTTGTTCAAGACTTACTTAATTGCCTTGATAGCCCTGAACTGCCATTTCTTCAGTGGCAAGAGTGCTTTGCAGTTCTGGCGACACGACTACCTAAAAATCTCAGGATCATGGTAAACACTTGTATACTATTCATAATCCGGTTTCCTTTACTGCGATATTTGTATCGAGTTCAAGACTTTTAATGCTTTTCTAAATAAAACTCTTTATCAGCTAGAATCAAAGTATAGGGAATTTGAGAGTATCTCCAGAAACTCTCTGACCGCCGATTTCCCTGCCAAACTTTTAAAAGGCATTCTTGAGGTGATTGACTATTATTTCTTCCATTAGAAGTACCATCCTGTTTTTCACTCTCTGAAAATTTTCGGTCTACTTCTTGCAACAGGCACATTTATCTTCTTGTGATGAGAAAGAGAGAGGTGCCCTTGAAAGGCTCATTGAACCGTTGATGAGCCTTGCAAAATCTTATGAAGGTGGTAGAGAAAGTCATGCCCGTGTTATTGTTCATTCCCTCTTTGAAGAATATCTATCGGTAGAAGAATTATTCAATGATAACATGCTGGTATTATATGGTTCAATAGCTAATTAACAGATTTTTGGTTACTAGCGATGACTGAGGCGTCTAAATAATCATTTTATTTTCTTGAATAGGCTGATGTTATAGAACGCATGCGTCAGCAATACAAGAAAGATCTGTTGAAGATTGTGGATATAGTGCTCTCACACCAGGTCTGTGATCATCTTTCTTAGAGCAGGTTTTTCTTTTCGTCATCACTATGTCACTAAATTAGTTCTTCTTTTCAGGGCATAAAAAACAAAAACAAACTCGTTCTCCGGCTCATGGAGCAGCTTGTTTACCCTAATCCTGCTGCTTACAGAGATAAACTTATCCGATTCTCGACACTTAACCATACTAACTACTCTGAGGTGCGTTTGATTGCTTTTTGTTTTATAATATTTATGTTTACATTCTCAACTGATGATAAGTTTGTGTGTGTAGTTGGCGCTCAAGGCAAGTCAATTGCTTGAACAGACCAAACTAAGTGAACTTCGTTCAAACATTGCTAGAAGCCTTTCAGAGTTAGAAATGTTTACAGAGGACGGAGAAAATATGGATACTCCCAAGAGGAAAAGTGCCATTAATGAAAGAATAGAAGATCTTGTGAGCGCATCTTTAGCTGTTGAAGACGCTCTCGTGGGACTATTTGACCACAGCGACCACACACTTCAAAGACGGGTTGTTGAGACTTATATTCGCAGATTATACCAGGTTAGAGTTCATTCTTCCGCACCTTTATTACTCAAAATTCTTTTTGGACTGCAATTGATTACAGAAAATTTTGACTTCATTATAACTCGACTCTTGTCATCAGCCCTATGTCGTTAAAGATAGCGTGAGGATGCAGTGGCACCGTTCTGGTCTTATTGCTTCCTGGGAGTTCCTAGAGGAGCATATGGAAAGAAAAAACAATGGCTTGGACGATCACGATACATCTGAAAAAGGATTGGTTGAGAAGCGTAGTAAGAGAAAATGGGGGGCTATGGTTATAATCAAATCGTTGCAGTTTCTGCCAAGTATAATAAGTGCAGCATTGAGAGAAACAAACCACAACGACTATGAAAATGCCGGAGCTCCTTTGTCTGGCAATATGATGCACATTGCTATTGTGGGCATCAACAACCAGATGAGTCTGCTTCAGGACAGGTACTTGACACAGCATAAACTAGCTTTGGTGCTATAGCGTCTAGCTAATCTGTTATCATGTCTGGTTTGTTTTTATCTCAGTGGGGATGAAGACCAAGCTCAGGAAAGAGTAAACAAGCTGGCCAAAATTCTTAAAGAGGAAGAAGTGAGTTCGAGCCTCTGTTCTGCTGGTGTTGGTGTAATCAGCTGTATAATTCAGCGAGATGAAGGACGAACACCCATGAGACATTCCTTCCATTGGTCGATGGAGAAACAGTATTATGTAGAAGAGCCGTTGCTGCGTCATCTTGAACCTCCTCTGTCCATTTACCTTGAGTTGGTATGATCATGACGATGAAATTTCTTGTTTAAAGCATATCATATTCTTTTTAATGGTTGTTTACTGTTTGTCTGATGCAGGATAAGCTGAAAGGATACTCAAATATACAATATACGCCTTCTCGAGATCGTCAATGGCATCTGTATACTGTTGCAGACAAGCCAGTGCCAATCAAGAGGATGTTCTTGAGATCTCTTGTTCGACAGGCTACTATGAACGATGGCTTTATGTTGCAGCAAGGACAGGATAAGCAGCTTAGCCAAACACTGATCTCCATGCCGTTTACGTCGAAATGCGTTCTGAGGTCTTTGATGGATGCCATGGAGGAACTGGAACTGAATGCCCATAATGCTGCAATGAAACCAGACCACGCACATATGTTTCTTTGCATATTGCGTGAGCAGCAGATAGATGATCTTGTGCCTTTCCCCAGGTTGCTATGGCTGTGTCCTTGACAAGTTATCGTTTGTAATGTGTCAGACCTTATCCTAATAATATTCATCGTGTTTCTCACAGGAGAGTTGAAGTGAATGCGGAGGATGAGGAAACTACAGTTGAGATGATCTTAGAAGAAGCAGCACGAGAGATACATAGATCTGTCGGAGTGAGAATGCATAGGTTGGGCGTGTGCGAGTGGGAAGTGCGGCTGTGGTTGGTGTCCTCTGGACTGGCATGTGGCGCTTGGAGGGTTGTGGTTGCAAACGTGACAGGCCGTACATGCACTGTCCACGTAAGTTCCGCTTACAAAAATTTGGTTGTACAAACAATACAGAGAGTAAGAGTACACATCTCGATGACTTACCTGCTGTTTTTTAATATTTCAGATATACCGAGAAGTTGAAACTCCTGGGAGAAACAGTTTAATTTACCACTCAATAACCAAGAAGGGACCTTTGCATGGAACCCCAATCAGTGATCAATATAAGCCCCTGGGATATCTCGACAGGCAACGTCTAGCAGCAAGGAGGAGTAACACTACTTATTGCTATGACTTCCCGTTGGTTTGTTACTGAATTCATAAGATTCACACATACGTTTACTCTTTTGGCCATTTCCAACCCCCCTTATGTTATTTCTTTCCTTTTCAGGCATTTGGGACAGCCTTGGAACTGTTGTGGGCATCACAACACCCAGGAGTTAAGAAACCATATAAGGATACTCTGATCAATGTTAAAGAGCTTGTATTCTCAAAACCAGAAGGTTCTTCGGGTACATCTCTAGATCTGGTTGAAAGACCACCGGGTCTCAATGACTTTGGAATGGTGGCGTGGTGCCTAGATATGTCGACTCCCGAATTTCCTATGGGACGAAAACTTCTCGTAATCGCGAATGATGTCACCTTCAAAGCTGGTTCTTTTGGTCCTAGAGAGGACGCGTTTTTTCTTGCTGTTACTGAACTCGCTTGTGCCAAGAAGCTTCCCTTGATTTACTTGGCAGCAAATTCTGGTGCCCGACTTGGGGTTGCTGAAGAAGTCAAAGCCTGCTTCAAAGTTGGATGGTCGGATGAAATTTCCCCTGAGAATGGTTTTCAGTATATATACCTAAGCCCTGAAGACCACGAAAGGATTAGATCATCTGTCATTGCCCATGAAGTGAAGCTTTCTAGTGGGGAAACAAGGTGGGTGATTGATACGATCGTTGGTAAAGAAGATGGTATTGGTGTAGAGAACTTAACAGGAAGTGGGGCAATAGCGGGTGCTTACTCAAGGGCATACAATGAAACTTTTACTTTAACCTTTGTTAGTGGGAGAACGGTTGGAATCGGTGCTTATCTTGCCCGCCTGGGTATGCGGTGCATACAGAGACTTGATCAGCCGATCATCTTGACTGGCTTTTCTACACTCAACAAGTTACTTGGGCGTGAGGTCTATAGCTCTCACATGCAACTTGGTGGCCCGAAAATCATGGGCACAAATGGTGTTGTTCATCTTACAGTCTCAGATGATCTTGAAGGCGTATCAGCAATTCTCAACTGGCTGAGCTACATTCCTGCTTACGTGGGTGGTCCTCTTCCTGTTCTTGCTCCTTTAGACCCACCGGATAGAACTGTGGAGTATGTCCCAGAGAACTCTTGCGACCCACGAGCGGCTATAGCTGGGGTCAAAGACAATACCGGTAAATGGCTTGGAGGTATTTTTGATAAAAATAGTTTTATTGAGACTCTTGAAGGCTGGGCAAGGACGGTAGTGACTGGTAGAGCCAAGCTCGGCGGAATACCCGTTGGAGTTGTTGCAGTTGAGACACAGACGGTAATGCAGATCATCCCAGCCGATCCTGGACAGCTTGACTCTCATGAAAGAGTGGTTCCACAAGCAGGGCAAGTCTGGTTTCCTGATTCAGCGGCCAAGACAGCCCAAGCGCTCATGGATTTCAACCGGGAAGAGCTTCCGCTGTTTATCCTAGCGAACTGGAGAGGGTTTTCAGGTGGACAGAGAGATCTTTTCGAAGGAATACTTCAGGCGGGTTCAACTATAGTAGAAAATCTGAGAACTTATCGGCAGCCAGTGTTTGTGTACATCCCAATGATGGGAGAGCTGCGCGGTGGTGCATGGGTTGTTGTTGACAGCCAGATAAATTCGGATTATGTTGAAATGTATGCCGATGAAACTGCTCGTGGAAATGTGCTCGAGCCAGAAGGGACGATAGAGATAAAATTTAGAACAAAAGAGCTGTTAGAGTGCATGGGAAGGTTGGACCAGAAGCTAATCAGTCTCAAAGCAAATCTTCAAGATGCCAAGCAAAGTGAGGCCTATGCAAACATCGAGCTTCTCCAGCAGCAGATTAAAGCCCGAGAGAAACAGCTTTTACCAGTTTATATCCAAATCGCCACCAAATTTGCGGAACTTCATGACACTTCCATGAGAATGGCTGCAAAAGGAGTGATCAAAAGTGTTGTGGAATGGAGCGGCTCGCGGTCCTTCTTCTATAAGAAGCTCAATAGGAGAATCGCTGAGAGCTCCCTTGTGAAAAACGTAAGACAAGCGTCTGGAGACAACTTATCATATAAATCTGCAATGGGTTTGATTCAGGATTGGTTCTGCAACTCTGATATTGCAAAGGGCAAAGAAGAAGCTTGGACAGACGACCAAGTGTTCTTTACATGGAAGGACAACGTTAGTAACTACGAGTTGAAGCTGAGCGAGTTGAGAGCACAGAAACTACTGAATCAACTCGCAGAGATTGGGAATTCGTCAGATCTGCAAGCTCTACCTCAGGGACTTGCTAATCTTCTAAACAAGGTATAAAACGAAACCATCGAGAAAAAAAACAAAGTTTTTGGTTCTCTAGTATTCCTCTCTATATGGTTCGGTTTTTTAAGGCCTAAGTGAATATTTGTGATGCAGGTGGAGCCTTCAAAAAGAGAAGAGCTGGTGGATGCGATTCGAAAGGTGTTGGGTTGATATCAAAGACATTTAGCTTCTAATCCAAGAAAGATGGACATTTAGAGTTTGCTTGAGTCCATTTGGACCATCTTCCTTATATTTGTTGGCCACAGTTGTAAATGTTGTTGTAGCTTTGTCATTCCCGTATAAGCGAATTACGTAATAATTCATTCAACATGTCACTATTGCTTCATATTTATACACTAAACTACGAAAATATAATTAGTCTCAATATAAAACTGATCCTGCTTAACCAAATATAGCTAAGAATCAGAAATCCTAAGACAATATACGTAGTCTAAATGAAACTGAACTATGACAATAATCAAAAATTTCATTCTAAAAATGTAGATTTGTATTTTAAGATCTTCCTTTTATGACGATTATTAAAAGTGGTTGACCAACAGCATCTGGCTTTCAAAGCCCAAATTAATTAATAATTATAAGTCCAGTAATAACGGGGACTGTTTTTTTTAATACTTATACTAACCTCAGGACTATTTGGCTTGGTTACCAAGTTTTGTGAAAATGGAGATGAGAGCTTTGGTTTCTTCGTGTTCTTCTGGTAATGGAGGTTCTGATCCGTTTAGCTTCACGAATGTTTCTCCATGGATCAAAACAGTTGGTGGTAAGGACAGAGATTTTCCAACGACAGTGAAGCTGAGAACTAGTATGAGAGCCTTTAAAGGAGTTTCGACAAGAGTGAGAACCTTTAAAGGAGTTTCGACAAGAGTTTTGTCTCGGAACAAACAACAGTTTCCTCTGTTTTGTTTCCTAAACCCTGATCCGACCTCCTTCTTGGATAATGGTTTCTTTCTCTATCTTTTGCTTAATTTGTTTTTGCATTTTTTGCCTTTTCCTATACATTTCATATGAAATTTGTCTGTCATCTATACGAAAACGCCTCGCTGTGTGAACGAGGTTCCGAATCCTAGCTTAAATTGAGTTGTAACATGTTTGTGGGATTAACCAATTTTTTTTATGTTCTTCCAAGTCATTTTGGTTGTTTATGGCTGTTTTACAGATATATCTGAAGCTCAAAGGACAGTGGTTTTACCGGGTGGCTCGGTTAATGGGTATCATCAAAGTGAAGTAGTACCCGGTAGAAATGATGGGACGGTGGCTGAAGTCGATGATTTCTGTAAAGCTCTTGGAGGGAAAAGGCCAATTCATAGTATTTTGGTTGCTACTAATGGAATGGCAGCTGTGAAGTTTATACGTAGTATCAGAACATGGTCTTACGAAACATTTGGCACGGAAAAAGCCGTAAAGTTGGTGGCGATGGCAACTCCTGAAGATATGCGGATTAATGCGGAGCATATCAGAATTGCTGATCAGTTTGTTGAGGTTCCGGGAGGAACGAACAATAACAATTATGCTAATGTTCAGCTTATTGTAGAGGTGATTAATGTAACTTGTTGGAAACTACTAATGTTCAGCTTATTTGGAGCTTTTCTTCATTCATGTTTGTGTTAATATGATGTGCAGATGGCTGAGGTAGCACGTGTGGATGCAGTTTGGCCTGGTTGGGGTCATGCATCTGAAAACCCTGAATTACCAGATGCTTTAAAGGCGAAAGGAATCGTATTTCTTGGTCCTCCTGCAGCTTCAATGGTAGCATTAGGGGATAAGATTGGTTCGTCGTTGATTGCTCAAGCTGCTGATGTACCTACTCTGCCATGGAGTGGTTCCCATGTAAATGAAGCTGAACTTGTTTACCTGCAGAGAAGTTTTAATCAGTTTCAAAATGGTGATGAATTCTTATGTTTTTTCAGGTTAAAATACCTCCGGGTAGCAGCTTGGTAACGATCCCCGAGGAAATCTACAAGAAAGCTTGTGTGTACACAACTGAAGAAGCAATTGCTAGTTGTCAAGTTGTTGGTTACCCAGCAATGATCAAAGCATCGTGGGGTGGTGGCGGTAAAGGCATTAGGAAGGTCAGCTTGTGTAGATATATGCATTTGGTCTGTCACTTTTTCGACTAAGCCGATTTACTATAAAAGTGTACTTAATTATTGTGGTTTTTCATTGTTTTAGGTTCATAATGATGATGAGGTTAAGGCTCTATTCAAGCAAGTTCAGGGTGAGGTCCCTGGGTCGCCGATATTCATAATGAAGGTTGCTTCACAGGTATGGCTACTTAACTATATCTCTTGATCTCAATATACTAGCTGATTAACTTAGTAACACTTGGCTTTTCTTTATATCTTGTGTATAGAGTCGGCATTTGGAGGTCCAGCTGCTGTGTGACCAATATGGGAACGTAGCAGCTTTGCATAGCCGTGATTGTAGCGTCCAGAGAAGGCATCAAAAGGTTTGTTAATTAGTGGTTCAAATTGTAGTTGATCATATCTCTCTTTATTACTCAACAATCAAGAACAAGAACAATTAATCTAATAAAGTTTGGTATAAAGAGTCTCTACTCTCTACCTAACTAATTAACAAATGGTCTTCTAATCCCCCCTCCCTCTTATTCAGCTTGTCCTCAAGCTCATTTACATAATCCTGCATTCCTTGTTGAAACTGTCCACATATACTCTTACATTGCTCTTAATGTTCCTTCTTCCCAAGGGTAGACTTCCTTTTGCAAATCATTAAACAATTGGTGTGCAAATGGACTCCTTTCATTGTTTTTTTTAGTTACTATATTTGGTGTACCTTCCCGTAGACGATTATTTACACTCTCATCCTTGAAACAAAAGTTCAAATTCAAAGCAAAATCTCTCACTTCCACTTGTTTCCCCCAAAATCTGAGTTTCCCTCTCTTCTTCTCTGTGTTGATTTCGTCTATTGAAGAACACAAGAGCGATGGATAATCCGTTTCAGATTCTAGATTTAGCGATGGGATGTTTCCGAAACACCGGGAGGAGAACCAGCAAACAATCGGAGATGAAGAAGAAGAAAAACGATTTTCCCCTAAATTGCAATCGAGTTTCTCAAACACAACCCAACTCAGGTAATCGAGATTTTCTGGACTTCATCGATTCCTCTACGCGATGAATCATTCCGTACAAACTCATTTTCCTATCCAATCAAATCAATCTTCGCAATTCAATCCAGAAATCCCATCGCGATTGCTTCGATCCTAACATCACAAAGCAACAATGTCGATACACCTTCTTGTCTAGTTTATTCTTAATACTGTTTCAATTTTATTGTCCAACTGAGTTAATACTCCGTATTGAATGATTGCATGATTTTGTTATCAAACAGATCATAGAGGAAGGTCCAATCACCGTCGCTCCGCAAGAAACCGTCAAGAAACTTGAGCAAGCAGCTAGAAGGTTAGCTAAGAGTGTTAACTATGTTGGAGCTGCTACTGTTGAGTATCTCTATAGTATGGACACTGGGGAATACTTCTTCTTAGAGCTTAACCCTCGTTTACAGGTTGCTTTCATACTGCAGCTACATTTATTTTCGAATAATTCTATTGAAAGGTTCCGTTTTGAAAGTTGTAAACTTGACGTTCGATGTCAGGTTGAGCATCCTGTAACCGAGTGGATTGCCGAGGTAAATCTTCCTGCTGCTCAAGTTGCTGTCGGGATGGGAATTCCTCTCTGGCAAATCCCTGGTATGCTCTTGCATCCCGAGGCAGCGTTTTCTTTTCTAGACTATATGCGTATGTAATGTCTCTGTTGTTTCGCTTTTGTTTGTTAGAGATAAGACGGTTTTATGGTATGGAACATGGTGGAGGATATGATTCTTGGAGGAAAACATCTGTTGTAGCCTCCCCTTTTGATTTTGATGAAGCTGAATCTATAAGGCCAAAAGGTCACTGTGTAGCTGTACGTGTGACAAGCGAGGATCCTGATGACGGGTTTAAACCAACCAGCGGTAAAATACAGGTAATGTGATATCTGTGGAATGCACATTTAAAAGTCTATTCATTGACAACTGTGTGTGGGTAACATTTGTATGAACTTGCAACAGGAATTGAGTTTTAAGAGCAAGCCAAATGTGTGGGCGTACTTCTCTGTCAAGGTAGACATATCTAGAGATGCTCTGCTGTATTACGTGTTTCGCTATGTCTTAAATTTTACGACTTTAGTTTTTTTTTTCTTACAGTCTGGTGGAGGCATCCATGAGTTCTCAGATTCCCAGTTTGGTAAGTTAAATGAAATCTTTGGGCTGCTAAGACTGTTCTTTTCTTGAGTATTTACAAATTGAAACTACCTTTAATCTTCTATTCAGGACATGTTTTTGCTTTTGGGGAATCCAGAACCATGGCCATAGCAAATATGGTTCTTGCGCTGAAGGAAATTCAAATTCGTGGAGAAATCAGGACTAATGTTGGCTACACGATCGACCTTCTACATGTATGCTTCCTTCTTCCTACACACAAAAGTTACACTCTGTGTTTGCAATGTAACCTGACAAGATCATTTCGATTGTAAACCAGGCTTCTGATTACCGGGAAAACAAAATACACACTGGTTGGTTGGACCGTAGGATTGCTATGCGGGTTAGAGCAGAGAGACCTCCATGGTATCTCTCTGTGGTCGGTGGGGCTCTATATGTAAGACCATCTTTCTCAGAGATCTGTTTGTCTTGAAAAGTTTCTATCTGGTGACTCGATGTTGTATTTGTCCAGAAAGCATCAACGACCAGTTCTGCTGTAGTTTCGGATTACGTTGGTTATCTAGAAAAGGGGCAAATTCCCCCAAAGGTACTCCAATATCAGCGCTCTCTTTTGTCTTTCTCATAATGATCTTGTAGCTTACTTTTCTCTCTTAACTTGCAACGTGCAGCATATATCTCTTGTGCATTCTCAAATGTCTCTGAATATTGAAGGAAGTAAATATACGGTATGCGTCTACTGTCAAAATTTCACTTCTCTGCATTTCTTCTTTTCCTCTGCCATATTATTTTTGCACTGAAGTTGTTGTAACGAGGCTCACTAACCTGAACATAACTGTTTCTAGATTGATGTAGTCCGGGGTGGAACAGGAACCTACAGGCTAAGAATGAACAACTCAGAAGTTGTAGCAGAAATACACACTCTACGTGATGGAGGTCTGTTGATGCAGGCAAGTTTTCTGCCTATGTTCCATATTAGAAAACAAGACATACATGTGTCACGCATAGTAACTGCTTTTTGAGATCTCACTTCCTTGTTTGGTTTTTACTGTCATTGCAGTTGGATGGTAAAAGCCATGTGATATATGCAGAGGAAGAAGCGGCAGGAACTCGTCTTCTCATTGACGGAAAAACTTGTTTACTACAGGTTTCAACTGAATTATGTTTTTTCTATTTTACTTCACATTTCTCTTAAGTTATTTTTAGCATTAAGTTGTCTGTCAATTTTGGCTAATTATTCAGAATGATCACGATCCTTCAAATCTGATGGCTGAGACACCATGCAAGTTATTGAGGTACCTGGTTTCAGACAACAGCAGTATTGATGCTGATATGCCCTACGCAGAAGTTGAAGTCATGAAGATGTGCATGCCACTTCTTTCGCCTGCGTCAGGAGTTATCCATTTCAAAATGTCTGAAGGACAAACCATAGAGGTGAAGAACCACTCTATTGCTAAATAAAATTCGTTTCCTACAGTTTTGTAGAAATTGATTAACCCATCCAATATTTCTTGACAGGCTGGTGAACTCATAGCCAAGCTTGATCTTGATGATCCTTCTGCTGTCAGAAAGGCCAAACTCTTCCGTGGAAGTTTCCCACGATTAGGGCTTCCAACGGCAATCTCCAGTAAAGTTCATCAGAGATGTGCTGCAACTTTAAATGCTGCTCGCATGATTCTTGCCGGCTATGAGCATAAAGTAGATGAGGTAAACGCTGTGTTTTTTTCCCTATTTGATCCAACTTTTCTATTAGATAATCTGATTTTGAGATTGCTCATATTTTGCAGGTTGTTCAAGACTTAATTAATTGCCTTGATAGCCCTGAACTGCCATTTCTTCAGTGGCAAGAGTGCTTTGCAGTCCTGGCGACACGACTACCGAAAAATCTCAGGAACATGGTAAACACTTGTGTACTATTCATAAATCATAATCCGTTTCCTTTACTGTGATCTTGTTTTGAGTTTCAAGACTTTTAATGCTTTTCTTTTATAATTCTCTATCAGCTAGAATCAAAGTACAAGGAATTTGAGATTATCTCCAAAAACTCCCTGACCACAGATTTCCCTGCCGAACTCTTAAAGGGCATCCTTGAGGTGATAACCTACTGCTTCTTTCATTTGAGACCTATTGTTCTGTATTTTACTCTCTAAAATACTTTCTTTTCGGTCCACTTTTTGCAACAGTCTCATTTATCATCTTGTGATGAGAAAGAGAGAGGTGCCCTTGAACGGCTCATTGAACCATTGATGAGCCTTGTGAAGTCTTATGAAGGTGGTAGAGAAAGTCATGCCCGTCTTATTGTTCATTCCCTCTTTGAAGAATATCTGTCAGTAGAAGAATTATTCAGTGATAACATGCTGGTAATATATGGTTTAAATGTTGTCAAACGGCTTCGTGGTTACCAGTTATGTGTGAGGATTCTTAATAAGCATTTTACTTTCTTGAAAAGGCTGATGTAATAGAACGCATGCGTCAGCAATACAAGAAACATCTATTAAAGATTGTCGATATCGTGCTTTCACACCAGGTTTGTGATTATTTTTCGCACACCAGGTTTTTCTTGTCTTTATCACTATGTTATTGTACTGGTATGCTCATCTGTTCTTCTTTTTAGGGTATAAAAAACAAAAACAAACTTGTTCTACGACTCATGGAGCAGTTCGTTTATCCTAATCCTGCTGCATACAGAGATAAACTTATCCGATTCTCAACACTTAACCATACTAATTACTCTAAGGTGCGTTTGGTTCCTTTATGTTTTATGCTATTTTTGTTGATATTTGTCAGCTGACAATTGATACGTGCGTGTAGTTGGCACTCAAGGCGAGTCAATTACTCGAACAGGCCAAACTAAGTGAACTGCGTTCAAATATTGCTAGAAGCCTTTCAGAATTAGAAATGTTATCAGAAGATGGAGAAGATATGGATACTCCCAAGAGGAAGAGTGCCATTAATGAAAGGATGGAAGATCTTGTGAGCGCATCTGTAGCTGTTGAAGACGCTCTCGTGGGATTATTTGACCACAGCGATCACATGCTTCAAAGACGGGTTGTTGAGACTTATATTCACAGATTATACCAGGTAAGAGTTTATTCTTCCGCACCCTTATTACTCAAAATTCTTTTTGGACTGCAATTGATTAGACAGGAAATTTTTTACTCATTTTAACTTGTCTCATGTCTTTAGCCTTATGTCGTTAAAGAAAGTGTGAGGATGCAGTGGCACCGGTCTGGTCTTATTGCTTCTTGGGAGTTCCTAGAGGAGCATTTTGAAAGAAAAAACATTGGCTCAGATAATCACGAGACATCTGAAAAAGGAATTGTTGAGAAGCGTAGTAAGAGAAAACGGGGGGCTATGGTTATAATCAAATCGCTGCAGTTGCTGCCGAGTATAATAAGTGCAGCATTGAGAGAAACAAACCACAACGACTATGAATATGCCGGAGCTCCTTTATCTGGAAATATCATGCACATTGCTATTGTGGGCAACAACAATCAGATGAGTCTGCTTCAGGACAGGTACTTGACAGTCAACGCAGCATGATTGTTTAAACCAGCTGAGGTGCTGTAGTGTCTACCTAATATGTGATCATTTCTGGTTTGTTTGTCTCAGCGGGGATGAGGACCAAACTCAGGAAAGAGTAAACAAGCTGGCCAAAATACTTAAAGAGGAAGAAGTGAGTTCAAGCCTCTGTTCTGCCGGTGTTGGTATGATCAGTTGTATAATTCAGCGAGATGAAGGACGAACACCAATGAGACATTCTTTCCATTGGTCGATGGAGAAACAGTATTATGTAGAAGAGCCGTTGCTGCGACATCTTGAACCTCCTCTATCCATATACCTTGAGTTGGTATGACCATGATGGTGAAATGGAAATTCTTGTTATACAGCATCTCAAATTTATTTTAACGATTGTTTATTGTTTGTCTGATGCAGGATAAGTTGAAAGGTTACTCAAATATACAGTATACGCCTTCACGAGACCGTCAATGGCATATGTATACTGTTACAGACAAGCCAGTGCCAATCAAAAGGATGTTCCTTAGATCTCTTGTTCGACAAGCTGCAATGAACGATGGGTTTATGTTGCAGCAAGGGCAGGACTACCAACTTAGCCAAACACTGCTCTCCATGGCGTTTACGTCAAAATGCGTTCTAAGGTCTTTGATGAATGCCATGGTGGAACTTGAACTGAATGCACATAATGTTGCCATGAAACCAGACCACGCACATATGTTCTTATGCATACTACGTGAGCAGCAGATAGAAGATCTTGTGCCTTACCCCAGGTTGCTATGGCTCTGTCTTTTACAAGTCATCATTTGCAATGTGTTAGGACTTTATAGTAACATTGTTCAATATGTTTCTCACAGGAGAGTTGAAGTGGATGCGGAGGATGAAGAAACTACAGTTGAGATGATCTTAGAAGAAGCAACACGAGAGATACATAGGTCTGTCGGAGTGAGAATGCATGGATTGGGTGTTTGTGAATGGGAAGTGCGACTGTGGTTGGTGTCCTCGGGACTGGCAAATGGCGCTTGGAGGGTCGTGGTTGCAAACGTGACAGGCCGTACATGCACTGTCCATGTAAATTTTCAGCTTACAAATAGTTTGTTGTGCAAACCATACAGAGAGTACACTTCTCCAAAACTTGACTCTCTGTGATTCTATGTTTCAGATATACCGAGAAGTGGAAGCTACTGGGAGAAACAGTTTAATCTACCACTCAATAACTAAGAAGGGACCTTTGCATGGAACTCCAATCAATGGTCAATATAAACCACTGAATAATCTGGACAGGAAACGTCTAGCCGCAAGGAGGAGTAACACTACTTATTGCTATGACTTCCCCTTGGTTAGTAACTGAATTCAGTAGTTTCTCACATAGTTTTACTCTTTTGGCTGCTTCCAACCCACCTTATGTTATTTCTTGTCTCTTCAGGCATTTGAGACAGCATTGGAGCTGCTGTGGGAATCACAACACCCGGGAGTTAGGAAACCATGCAAGAATACACTCATCAACGCCAAAGAGCTTGTATTCTCCAATACAGAAGGTTCTTCGGGTACATCTCTTATTCCGGTTGAACGACCAGCTGGTCTCAATGACATTGGAATGGTGGCCTGGATCTTAGAGATGTCGACTCCTGAGTTTCCTATGGGACGGAAACTTCTCATTGTCGCCAATGATGTCACATTCAAAGCTGGTTCTTTTGGTCCTAGAGAGGATGCATTTTTCCTTGCTGTGACTGAACTGGCTTGTACCAAAAAGCTTCCCTTGATTTACTTGGCAGCAAATTCTGGTGCCCGACTCGGTGTAGCTGAAGAAGTAAAAGCCTGCTTCAAAGTTGGGTGGTCGGATGAAGTTTCCCCCGAGAATGGTTTTCAGTATATATACCTAAGCTCTAAAGACTATGCAAGGATTGGATCATCTGTCATTGCGCACGAAGTGAAGCTCCCTAGTGGCGAAACAAGGTGGGTGATTGATACAATTGTTGGTAAAGAAGATGGTATTGGAGTTGAGAATTTAACAGGAAGTGGGGCAATAGCGGGTGCTTACTCAAGGGCGTACAATGAAACTTTTACGCTAACCTTTGTAAGTGGAAGATCGGTCGGAATCGGTGCTTACCTTGCCCGCCTGGGCATGAGGTGCATACAGAGACTAGACCAGCCGATCATCTTGACTGGCTTTTCTACGCTCAACAAGCTACTTGGGCGTGAGGTGTATAGCTCTCACATGCAACTTGGTGGTCCAAAAATCATGGGGACAAATGGTGTTGTTCATCTTACAGTCTCTGATGATCTTGAAGGCGTATCAGCAATTCTCAAGTGGCTGAGCTACATTCCTGCTTATGTGGGTGGCCCTCTTCCTGTTCTTGCTCCTTTAGATCCACCGGAGAGAACTGTGGAGTATATCCCAGAGAACTCTTGTGACCCACGAGCTGCTATAGCTGGGATTGACGACAATACTGGTAAATGGCTCGGTGGTATCTTTGATAAAAATAGCTTTGTTGAGACTCTTGAAGGGTGGGCAAAGACAGTAGTGACTGGTAGAGCTAAGCTTGGGGGAATTCCCGTCGGAGTGGTTGCTGTCGAGACACAAACTGTAACGCAGATCATCCCAGCAGATCCTGGACAGCTTGACTCTCATGAAAGAGTAGTTCCGCAAGCAGGGCAAGTCTGGTTTCCTGATTCAGCAGCTAAGACAGCTCAAGCGCTCATGGATTTCAACCGGGAACAGCTTCCATTGTTTATCCTAGCAAACTGGAGAGGTTTTTCAGGTGGGCAGAGAGATCTTTTCGAAGGAATACTTCAGGCGGGTTCAACTATAGTAGAAAATCTGAGAACATATCGGCAGCCAGTGTTTGTGTACATCCCAATGATGGGAGAACTGCGAGGTGGAGCGTGGGTGGTTGTTGATAGCCAGATAAATTCGGATTATGTTGAAATGTATGCTGATGAAACTGCTCGTGGAAATGTGCTTGAGCCTGAAGGGATGATAGAGATAAAATTTAGAAGGAAAGAGCTGTTAGAGTGCATGGGAAGGTTGGACAAGACGCTCATCAATTTGAAAGCAAATATCCAAGATGCCAAGCAAAACGAGGCTTATGCAAACATCGAGCTTCTCCAGAAACAGATTAAAACCCGAGAGAAGCAACTTTTACCAATTTATATCCAAATCGCTACCAAATTTGCTGAACTCCATGACACTTCCATGAGAATGGCTGCAAAAGGAGTGATCAAAAGTGTTGTGGAATGGAGTGGCTCGCGGTCATTCTTCTATAAAAAGCTCTATCGGAGAATTGCAGAGAGCTCTCTTGTGAGGAACATAAGAAAAGCTTCTGGAGACATCTTATCATATAAATCTGCTATGGGTTTGATTCAGGATTGGTTCAGAAAATCTGAGATTGCAAAGGGGAAAGAAGAAGCTTGGACAGACGACCAACTATTTTTCACATGGAAGGACAATGTTAGTAACTATGAGCAGAAGCTGTGTGAGTTGAGAGCGCAGAAACTGCTGAATCAACTTGCAGAGATTGTGAATTCGTCGGATTTGCAGGCTCTGCCACAAGGACTTGCTAATCTTCTAAACAAGGTATGAACTGAAACTCTAGATAAAACTGAGAAACCTAAGTTTTTCTTTTTTTTGTATGGCTCATTTGTTGGAGTCCCCCTAAATGAATTTGTGTGATGCAGGTGGAGCTTTCAAGAAGAGAAGAACTGGTGGATGCGATTCGAAAAGTGTTGAATTGATGATATCTATAAGAGGTTTAGCTTCTGTTCCAATAAAGATGGTGTTTTGGAGTTGCTTGTGTCAATAGATTTGGAAGAGCTTCCTTATATTTGGTAGCCCACATAAATTAACTTCATAGTAACTATGAACATCGCAACATTGAGTGGCATATAGCTTAGTTTTGAATTTAGACATAATTACAGTTCCATATTACTGAAACTGATTTTTTGTTTGTTTATATATAATATCAATCAAGCTTTAGATTTTTTGCCTTTGGTCTTGAAAGGCAAAAACGTCACTCCACCCATGTAAGGTTGCAGAAACTCAGGGATGTCCACGCCATCATCTCGCTGGTAGTTCTCGAGAATGCAGCAAATGGTCCTCTGTGTTGCGCAAAGAGTCGAATTCAGCATATGCACATACTTCTTCGTCTCCTGATTGCTCTGCATTTTAAAAAAATAATTACACATGATCGAACATATTTGCTAGTGAAGCAAAAAGAACTGAGAAATGTACCTTTTTGTAACCATATCTAATGTTAAGTCTTCGAGACTGATAGTCTGTACAGTTGGAACAGGACACGAGCTCTCTGTAAGTCCCTGACGCAGGAAACCATCCTTCCAAGTCATACTTTTTTGCAGCTGCATCATTCAAAGCTCCAGAGACAACTGACACGACTCGGTATGGAATTTTAAGCTGCAAAATAATCATCATAACAATTAGCTAATTAGAAAACATATTAGAGATAACTTGGGGAGCAAGATAAAACTTTTGAAAATTTCTTGTAAGGTTTCTTTAACTTCAAGAGACGCTGGAATAACATACCGATTGGTAAAATTCTTCCGAGTTCTTCAGCATCTCTTCAAGCATTTCCCACGAATCATCAGGACCCGTGATGCAAAACTGTTCGACTTTCTCAAACTGGTGAACACGGAAAATGCCAAGAGTATCTCTTCCATGGGAACCAGCTTCTTTTCTAAAGCAGGTCGAGTAACCAGCATACCTTATCGGAAGCTCGGTCGGATGGAACCATTCACCTTGATGTTGTGCACAAAGAGGTTGCTCAGCAGTTGCAATAAGGAATTTTTCATCATTTCCCTTTCCTTCACCAGTCACCTGAACAAAACAACATTTTCCTCAAAATTGAGAATGAATCAATTTTAATTATGATATTATGCGGACTATATATTTACATATAGGAGTTTTTAAAATTAATTTATCGAATTTGGTTGATTTTTGCACTATTAATTTATAAAGGTTTCACACCGGTTTGATACCTTGTAGAGTTCTTCATCAAACTGTGACAATTGTGCGCACTTGGCCATGGATTCCTTCGTCATGAGATAATTAGGTTGTATAACTGAGAATTCTTTCTTTTGTAAGAAGGCTAAAGAATAGTTGATAAGAGCTTGGTTAAGGAGCACGCCATATCCTTTTAGAAAATAGCCTCTTCCTCCGGCAACTTTAGCACCTGCGGGTAAAAATAGCATTTCATGAAACCAAAAGCACAAAAACCTAAAATGCGATACTAAGGACGTAGCCAAAGTGAAAACTCTACCTCTCTTGGTATCTACTATATCAAGAAACTCAACGAGATCCACATGGTTTGTTAGCTCCTCACCAGGTGAAGCAACCCGCGGTTCACCCGAAACGTTAATCAAGAGATTATTTGCCTGCAAAAATAAGCCACACACTTCTTCTAAGTCTCTCTCCTTTTTGGTCATCCACCATGAAGACAAACCTCTCGAACGGAAGTGGAACTAACCTCGTCGTTATCAATTGGAACTGAGTCATGGATGAGATTTCCCATTGTCCACAATTTAGCTTCCAAAGCAGCATAAGCTTCACGAACTTCCGCCTCATAATTGGTACATTCTTGTTTGATAATCTCTGCTTGCTGAATCTTCTCAGTCGCATCAGCATCAGACTATTACCAAAAAAAATAAAAAAAAAAACAACATCAAACACCAAAACTAATATCATGAGACACTTGGTTAGTAAATTTTTATGCTTTAACTTAAAACAAAAAAAAACACTAACAATTTTGAGCTTGGCCACTTCCTTGTTAAGCTTGTTGAAGTCTTTTCGGGCACAATCATATTCATATTTACCTGAAAACACACAGATTCGATAGCATCATTAAGCTTAACTCGTAAGGAGAGAAAGTAATGCGAAGAAAAGGAAGGAGATACACGTACGTTGACGCCATACTTGGTCGAGAATGATTATCTCATCAACAACTTCGACGTTAGCAAATTTCCGGCGTTGAGTCTCTCGGATGATCTCCGGATTGTTTCGAAATAAATCAATATCACACATTATAACGTGCTAATCTGTGAATCAAAGAATAATCTCACAAGTTATGGATTGATGATATATATTGGAGTTGATAAGAAGAATTTGAAGAGACGTGAGATGAAAGAAACGTACTTGGAACTGCTCCTAGGGTTTTTGTGATCGTTGTTTTCTACTATTTAATGCAGCTGAATATAAAAAAAGAGTGCTCAGGTATCAATTGTTGATCAAGAGAATACAAATTTTGATTCCTATTTATAATAACACCACCACCTCTAACCCTAATTAATCTCTTTATAAAATAAATGGAAAATTTAGAAATCAAAATAGAAAAGGAATAAGTAAAAGGCTAAATATAAAGAAAGATCCGTTAAAGCCCAACTTATGAAGCCCAATTTGTGTATCTCTCAAAAACCCTAAAGGTTCCTTTAGTCTCTCTGCTACTTCTCACTTCTCATTTTGCGCCACCCAAACCCTAAAAGGCGACGAAGGTAAAACAATCTCCGATCTCTTTCCCTTTATTTCTCTCTTCCATCATCACCTATTTCTGATTCTCCGGTTTCGTTTCTCTCAATATTATCAGTAAAATCCGGCGAAGATGGTTGCAGCGAAGAAGACGGTATGGTTTTCTCCATTCTAATTCATAATCCGTTGAAAATTTGAGTGTAGCGATTTTGTTGAATCCATTTCTTGCAGAAGAAGTCTCATGAAGGAATCAACAGCAGATTGGCTTTGGTGATGAAGAGTGGCAAATACACTCTTGGTTACAAATCTGTTCTCAAATCTCTTCGCAGTTCCAAAGGTAGAAAGAAACTTGTTTTATTCGTAATCTATTGGTTTTTGGTTCTTTATTGTGAGCTCTTTGATTGTGTTGTAGGTAAGCTGATATTGATATCTAGCAATTGCCCACCATTGAGGAGGTCTGAGATTGAGTACTATGCTATGCTTGCTAAAGTTGGAGTTCATCACTACAATGGAAGTAAGTTCCTTTCATGAACATTTGTCCTTACTGGTTTGGTGGGATTGTACAACAGATATAGGTCTGAATTTAGAAGTAATTCTTTAGTTTATGTCTTGATTCTGATATGATCATGAAATCATTATGAAATAGTTGTGGAAATGCAACTTATTATTCTGAGTAATTTGACAGAAAGCTCTAAAATGATCTGTCCCCAAATTTTTATATAGAGTGTAATTGTGCAACCTAACTATCGATTCATTGTATCAGTTTTCTCTATGGTCTATGATTGTTCTGTGTTTGTGATATTAGGGACCAATTCAGTGAAAACAAGTGAGTAATTTTCAATTCATAAAACTGTTCCCTTTAGATTGCCCTAAACACTTAGTTATATATTGGGGTGTATAGATAGATAACGTAATTTTGCAAACTACCAATCCATTAGAGTTATCCTTATAGTTGTTTTATAGTGAAAAAGCCTGAACTCACTTATATCGTATATCAGTTTTCTACCTGCACCAGTGATTGTTTTTTGTTTTCTGGTATTAGCGACTGAGAACCAGTGAGTGAGTTAATTCAGAAATTGTTCCTTACTTGCTTTTTGCTTTGTAAACTGCTTATTTTGATGTGTCTCTGCAAATATGTAATTTCATTGCCTGATTCTTTCTTGTACTCGTTCCTTGTAGACAATGTTGATCTTGGTACTGCCTGCGGTAAATACTTCCGTGTGTCATGCCTCAGCATAGTTGACCCAGGTAACACACTCATCCACTGTCCAATGTCTTTTAGACTAATCAGCTTACACATGCAATGTTAATCTTGGTTTTTTACACACTCAGGTGACTCTGACATCATCAAGGCACTTCCTGGAGACCAGTGATTGATTTGTGCTCATTATCATTTTGCCCTCTTTATCTACTTTATGCGAAAGTAGTGTGTTTCTTCGTGATTTCTTCTCTCGCCTAGAATTGTCATACTTGTTTAAGATCTTTCAAGACTTTGTAGGTTGCCTTGGTTTCTAAACAATTGTGGTAATTGAAATTTTCGTCTCTCTGGATTAATATTAGAATCATTTTCCTGCAGTCACTAAATATTATATATATGATATAATGTCACATTGTTTCAAACATAAAATTGCTTAAGTTTAAATCTTGTAAATGTGCTTACCTGATTGATTAGTGAAAGGGTGAACTGAAATTGATAACAGATATGTATTATGTATACTATATTTAGGCGTCTTTTAAGTAATGCTAGACACGTCATACGAAGAGAGTAATGTATTAATTTTCATCATTGTGAAATTTGATTACCAAAAACAATTGGGTACGAACACGTAAACTATATTATTTAGATTAGTATAACATGTAATTTACACGATTTAAAAATTGAAAGCAACACATTGTAGGCATTATTTTTACTGCACAAGTACGTCTAGTTTATTCTGAAGTGAATTATTGAACTTAAGAATCTAACAGAATTTGACTGAATTCATGTTTTCAAAATTTTTTAGCATTATTCAATCATGTAATTTATAAATTCTTCAACACAAGAAGACAAAAGAATCATTGATGTTGCCATTGGACTGCCAAGTTGTGGACCGGAAAAGATTTCCTAGAGGGAGGCAAAAGATACAGACGAGCTAGACACTAATCATCTAAATATTCCAAAATCGAAACCTCCATACATAACACAGTTTTTTCACCATCATCAAATTTCAATGATACAACGCAACAAAACCACTGACAGTTGAAAGCTTCCACAGTACAGAAGACACGCTCCCAATAGATAGATTTCCTAAGAGGGAGAAAACTTTTCATAAAAATCTTAAATTTTAATAATACAACCGATGCATTTTTTTATTTCATAGTCACTGATTAAGTACAAATATTAGTCACACTCAATAAAATTTTAAATTGTGACTAGAATAAAGGACTAGATCAACCAAGCTAAAATGTTTCAGCATAGAAATGAAACATGTCGGAGAGTTAAAGGAAAGAGTTACTCTGTCTTACGGGGTAAGCAGAGGACTCCACGACACTTGTAAGTCCAAAAGACTAATCTTGTATTTTTTTCAAATCTTTACCTTTTACAACGTTGTTCCAACTCTAATTCAAAGTGTAGTTCAAGGTTTCAGTTCCAGAGTCTTTCTTCTCCATCACCCATATCATAAAACGTAAACCCCATTTTTTGGACCATTAAGTCACGAGAATTGTTCCTACGCCAATATTCTTGTTGTCGTCGTCTTCTTCTTATGGCTCGAGACTCAACAGGAGTCAAAAAGTTGTTTCTGAGTAACTACTTGAAAGATATTAAGAAATAAGTCTTGCCTGACTTGACGTCACTAATGGAGAGTCTTCTCAAAGATTAGCCTGATTGGGCCTTTGGCTCCCTTCATCTTTCTCATCTCCTCAAAAAGCCACTCTGGCGTCTCTTTTGCCGTCCGTGAAAAAGGATCAACTATTGCTTTCTTGAATTAATGTAATGTACGTGCTACAAGATTACATCATGAAATTCTACTATATATTTTCTACGAAAGGTTTGGTAGGATATTTTTCATATCTTATGAAATTTTGACGAAAAATATAAGTCGTAGGAAATTACATACAACAAAATATTAAAGGATAATGGTCATAAATATCGTACAAAAATCCTATAGCATGTTGTTTGTAGGAAATTGGTAGGATAATAGAAGGAATTCAGTTAGAAAAAAATAACTATTAGAAAGGTAAAAAATTTATAGGAAATATTATTACCATTTTCCTACGAAAAGTAATTCGTAGGTGAGTCGTACGAATTTTGTAGGAAATATTCCTACTATTTTCCTAAAATGTAATCCTAATATTACTCCTAATTTCCAGAAGATGTAAACACTAAAAACCATTAGTATTACTAAGCAATTTGGTATATACTGCTACTATATTGTTTAAGATGAGATTAGAGTAGAATGGAAGCAGATGTAAGCAGATCTGAAATCAACCTGAGAGGGTTATTTACAACAAGTTTGATAAGACTAGATCTAAGCACATCAGAGAAAATCTAAGCAGAAAGAGAATACTAGAGTTCATCACATTTCTAGACTAGTGTATGATTTATGAAACCTAAGGGTGAAATTGTTAGATCCAAAATGACCATAAAGTGAATCAAGCTAGATCCAGTTACTTTGAACGTGAATCAATTTCCAGAAGATTTAACCCAAAGCAAGAGAAGAATTTTTGGCTTACCTGCGAATGATGATGAAGAAGATGATAATAAATTTAAGGCCCAAATTTAATAAGTTATTTTTATTATATCTGTTTAACTATGCTGAACCTTTATAACATATGTCCATTTAATGGCCCTAAAATAACAAGTCCAAATTAAAATAACAAAACCTAAAAGTTAATTATTGTTGCTTATTTTTCTCAAAAACGTTCTCGACTCCCTATTCTTCAAGAGCTGCGCAAGATAATATGGAGGTCAATCAAATTGTCCAACAGGTAAAGCATTTCATCCTCTTAATTACAAATTAACCGTTACAGATTTCCAATTGTCTTAATAAAACAAATATTTTCTCAATTTCAATACGTTCTTGAGCTTTGTATTGATATTTTTCTTTTTCCTGAAAATTCTTTGTAGCAATTGATTTGTCCTTCTTTCCCAATCAATACTCAATATTCCTCAACTCCAGCAGTAGCGGGATTTCTCTTTTCGACAAGCTTCAAACTTTCAATATAATTTCCTTCATTATCCAAGGTTTATTGTTCTTACGATTCCTTAGTTAGATTTTTTGATTTTGTTAGGGAAAATTCCCAAAAAAAAACCTCATGTATTTTTTATTTGGACGTTTAATACCCAATTATTTTCGGTTGGAAGAAAAATACACATACTAATAAAACTATGCGATTTAATACCCAAACAATTAAATGTTGTTATTTTCATACTCACGAACTCTTAACAAAAAAAATATTCCAATTTTATCCTTACCATCTCAATTAATTATTAACTTTTAAATAACGTGGTATTATTTTTTATTTAAATAAAAATTAATTTTGTTAATGTTTTATTTTATGTTGCCTAAAAAATAAATTTTAAATTTATATAATTATTTTATTTTAAAATTAAACATAAAAATTAGCAGAAAATCAAAAATATTAAAAATAGTCATTTGTACAATCTTATTCCGTCTTTGCAATGTCAAAGAGACGTTTCCTCTTCGATTCTAATTTTTTCGATTAATATATACGAGAATTACCGGTAAACAATCTCCGTCGTCCTCTTTTGCAACCATCAAATTCGATAACCGTTCAAAATCTCTTTTTAATCCTATAAAAAATCTTCATCGCCAATAAAACTAATTTGATTTGATTCGTCGTGATGCATATGATATCAACGAGCATCAATATGAACTTTTTCTTCGTCGTGAGAAACTCTCTATTCGAATATAAATCCTTCACGAATGAAACTATTTTCGACAAAATCTCAATCCGAATCTCATCGTCTCTCTCAAGATTTATCAATTCATAAAAATGGCTAATTTTTTTTTTACTTTTTCTAAATTTTTTCTAATTAATTTTATTTTTAATTTTTAAAATTAAATATTTGTAAAATAAACTGCAAATTATTTTGAATTTTGTTTTGAAATTTTTTTGGGATAACAAAGAAATGAAATATTAATAAAAATAATTTTTATTTAAATAAAAAACTATTGTCACGTAATCTAAAAGTTAATAATTAATTGAAATAGTAAGGTTAAAATTGGAATTTTATTTTTGTTGTGAGATCGTGAGTATGAAAATAACAACATTTAATTATTTGGATATTAAATCGCACAGTTTTATTAATATGTGTATTTTTCTTCCAACCGAAAACAATTGGGTATTAAACGTCCAAATAAAAAATAATTGAGGTTTTTTTTGGGAATTTTTCCGATTTTGTTATCATTTGAATTTTGGGTATTAAATCTGTGTTAAATATTTATGGCCATGATAAAAAGCAAAAAAGAAAACATATAGAACAATTTATTCAATCTCAAAAAGAAGCTTTAGATAAATTCATTGTTAAAAAAATGCATGAAAAAGAAAAATTTGATGATATTGGTGGTTCTAATGCTCATGAAGATAACAATAATATAGATAATGTAGAAGTAGCAGATGCTCATGAAGTGCTTGAAAAAGTCGATGATGCTTGATTCAAAATTCATGGTGTTTCTAGTGTTCTTGATATGTGTGATCTAAGATATTGGGATGTGTTTGATTCAAAATTGATTGCAACTTAGCAATTAATGGACCAAAAAAGAGATTTATCTATTGCCAAAGAAGATTTGTTTCATCTTGCTATATTAGAAAGTTGTCAAATGGAGAAACACGTGACATAAAGTGGCTAGTTTATTCAAAAGAATTAGATAAAAATTTTTTGCTTTTGTTATAAAATTTTTAAGAAAGGTATCCGTAGAAGTCAATTAGCAAAAGAATGTCTTTCGGATTGGAGTCATATATTTGTTAGATTAAATGAGCATGAAAAAAGTAAAGAACATATACTTAATATGATATCTTGGGTTGAATTACGGTGTAGACTTAAAAAAAATGAAACTATTGATGAAGTTGCTCAAGAACAATTTAAGAAAAAAAAAGAATATTGGAAAAATGTATTAGTTAGAATTATTGAAATTGTGAGATATCTTGCAAAGCATAATTTGGCATTTCGTGGAACAAATGAGAAATTTTACAAAATAGTTTTGGCAATTTTTAGGATTAATAGAGATGTTAGCAAAATTTGATTCCGTGATGAAAGAGCATGTTTTTCGAATCACTAGTAGAACTATTCATAATCATTACCTTAGTCATAATATTCAAAACAAATTGATTCTTTTGTGAGGCTAATGGCATAAACACATGAGAGTTATTACTTTTAAAACTCACTAGATGAGTATCCGCTCGATGTGCAAGATTATGTGGTAGTTTATTGAGTTATTTGCCTCCTGTATTTTAAGCTTAGTAGTCCCATAAGAAACTAAGTCAAATTTGTAACACACATACATCACCATTATTCTTCAGTTCATAGGTTTTGTAGGTAACTCATCTTGATTATTATCTTTGTTTCTAATGATCTCATCAATGAATGTCAAAGACTTTGAAGAATGATAATCTTTCATCATTGGAATCCATTTAGGTGTCTATCATTTGCGACTTCTTTGTTATCTCATTAAAAACATTTCATGGAAAAATTCAATTGGACAAAAACAATGATAAATGAGTACAACCACGGATAAAATCATATTTTTTCCTCTGAAAGCATCATCTTCAGGATATGTATTATGAACATATATATTATCCTTTCGACCATCATTAAATTCAGAATCTTAGTAAACAAAATGGTATGATGTTTGTCATATAACCATTAGGATCATGAGAGTTTTAGTTATTCGTATCTTTTCTTACACTGAATAATATTTCATTTGTCTATATGAACTTCAAGTCTAAATTTCTTTCGACATATATTCTTCTAAACATTCGTCTTGTACATATGAGTTATTCATGCTTATCTTATAAAACTTACTATTTTAGCTTTCTTGCTTATTATGATTCTTCTGAACCAAATATATGTGACTATTTTCCATGTAAAGTTCTACAAGGATCTTTGTAATAACATCTCTTTTGCTAGATGTCCAATTTGAAATTCCGAAATTTTTTATGAAGACTTGGATTCTTGCATAATCTGATTTCTACGTCTTCCAGAAGAATGATTTCATAAGCAGATGTAAACATTAGTATCAAGCAAGCAAGCAATTAGTATCATCGATTGTAAGCAGATGTAAGCACTAAAAGCCATTAGTATCAAGAGGAGAATTGCTTGCTTACTTGATACAATTTCCAGAAGATTTAACCCAAACCAAGAGGAGAATTTCCAAAAGATGTAAGCACTAAAAGCCATTAGTATCACTAAGCAATTTGGTATATACTGTTACTTTATTGTTTAAGATGAGATAGAGTAGAATGGAAGCAGATGTAAGCAGATCTGAAATCAACTTGAGAGAGCTATTTACAACAAGTTTGATAAGTCTAGATCTAAGTACATCAGAGAAAATCTAAACAGAAAGAGAATACTAGAGTTCATCACATTTCTAGACTAGTGTATGATCCTTGTTCCAGGGCTGAGGATCCTGGGATGAAGGTTCCTGGTGCTTGAGGATGCGCCTGTTGTTCATTCCGAACGTCTGGCTGGTGCGAGCTCGGCGGTATCCTGGTGAAGCGATTCGACTGTACATCGGTGAAGTCGAAGTTGGGTGCGAGAATTTGTGGGATGAGCGGTGTCATGTCAGAACTAGTCTGTTGCTGGATACCACGAGCTAGATAGTTCAGCTTCCGGTTGGTTTCGATGATTGAGTCTGCTAAGTCTTTGGTTGCGACCGCGATGATCGCTTTGAGGTCGTCCACGAAGACCGTGGGTGCTGCGACGGTGGCGGGATTCGGATCTTGGATGCGTTGATCCTCCAATTCCTTTGCACGTTGCTCCTCCGTGGTTGAGCGAGAGCCGTCCCCGTTAGGGGGATCCGTCACGCCGGCGTTTTGCGGCAAGGAGCCACTGTTTTGTGGTAAGAGAGAATCGTCGATTTCTTGAACCATGTTTTCTGGGTGAAAGATTTCGATCAAGAACAGAGTTTTGAAGAGAGATATTTGTCGAGTCCCCACAGGCGGCGCCAATTGTTGATTCTGAAAACCACACAATGAATTTGTCTATAGGAGGAAAACAAATTCAATTAATTCTCTCTTGCTGTTAATGATCAAAGACTTGAATATAGAGTGAATTTTATTGCTTTAGAGACAAAGTTAGGGTTTTGCTCAAGAACAATTAGGGTTTTTAGTACAAAGTTTCGGATGCCTTGAATAGAGGACAAACCCCTCTATTTATACAAGTTTAAGGCGGTTTAGAGATATGTTAATCTTCTAAATCTTCAAATTTTCCTTTCTTTTCGGGATTCTCCTTTATCTTCTAGGAAAATCTCCTTTTTCTTGAATGAGGAAGTCGGCTACAGGCGATCTCCTGTATTTGAGTCGAGCTCGCCTGGCGATCTCCTTCTTCAGCCCATTAACAGGCTTTAACCGGGATTCCCCGGTTTATATTGAATTCTCAATTTGATTCGTAATTTGTCCGGTTTAAGCCGGTATTGTCGGAGGTGCTAATTCCTGCACCAACAAAAGTTTTTCTCAAAGACTTGAGAGTTGATTATGAAAAAAACATATTCCCATTCATGAATACAATTATATTCAGGTCCTTAATAATTTAGAAACGTATCTTATGGATGTAGTGACATCATATTTATATGGATCATTGGATAATGATTTATACATGAGAACCCTAGAAGGATTTAAGTTTCTCATGCATTAGATTCGAAGTGTAATAAAATATGTACGGTCAATTATAGCGATCATGATGCATGTGTTTTTTCGCTTCAATCTTTTACCTCAAAAGATCACACGACTACTCCAAGTGCACAGTTAATCGTCTGTAGTATTTAAGGATCAAATCCCACAGAGAGAGAAGTATTTCAAACGAATCCGTCACAATAGGGTAAAGCTAGGACAAATCAATAAAAGAGGGGTTGTTGTTGGTGTCACGGTTGCAAGTAAAGTAAATAAGAAAGCAGGTAACAAGCAGGTAAATCAATATGAGACAAACGTTGGAAATTCAAGGGATCGCAGAGGGTTCAATGATCCATAAATTAATAAATATTCTAGTCCCAAAATTAAAAAAAATTACTATACAAGAAAAAAAAACTATATTAACCGGATGAAAGTAGTTTAAATATAACTTACACGGTGTCATTTGGTAATTGCTTAAAGTTTGTTGGGAACTAAACCCATTTGACAGAACTTTTGATATAGGCAAATGTTTATATTTATTTGTAGACACACCATAAAAGGAGCTTATGATATAGGCAAATGTCTATATCCATATGTTGATGATATGTATGCGACTGCCGCTTGGAGATCGTTATATGAGAAAACTATCAATCAAATAGGTGTTGTTGAAGAAGAATGGCATGTCCCAGAGCTTGTTGAAGTTGCAGTAGTTTTACCACCTGAAACAAGAAGACAACCTGGTAGACGAAGAAAAACGAAGATATGAAACTGTTGAAAACAAGATAAAATCGTCACAACAATCATAATTGTCAAAGACACATAGGTGTAGTTGTTGTGGAAAAGGCCATAATCGATCAACATGTGATATAGCAATATGATTAGGGTTCGTGTAACTACTGGTTTTTAACTTAATTATATACTTTTATATTTTTTTGGTAACTATTTTCTTTTTAATTTTCAAGATTGTGTTGTAACTTCGATTATTGAGCGGTTTCGTATTTTTGGATTCACTACTAGTTATATTCGTGTTTTGTCTTGAATTTGGATACACTACTACTTATGTTCTTGTTTTTGTTTTTTTTTGAGTTATGGATTCACTACTAGTTATGTTCATCTTTTTGTTTTTGAAATATGGATTCACTACTAGTTATGTTCGTGTTTTTGTTTTTTGAGTTATGGATTCACTACTACTTATGTTCATCTTTTGTTTTTAGTTATGGATGCAAGACTAGTTATGTTCGTGTTTTTTTTTTTAGTTAATAGTTAAGCTTCTCTCCTAATAATTGTCCTATCAAAGGAATTTCTTCCGTAACCCATATCTGTAGTGAAAATGAAAACCCATTAAGGGAATAGCTTTTGATCTTCTTCAAATCTTTTTTTTTTTTGCTTTTGTGATCGATTTCACAAGATAGTCAAACGCATGTAAACCCAAAGGATACGCTCTCAACTTATCAAGATCCATCACCAACTTGATGTATGATATTGGAATAGCTTTCTTTTCATCCTTAGCAATCACGAAACCAGAAATCACACACACATTTACAAATCTAATCTTGTCTACTTCATCCCACGTGTGAACATCTCATAGATGCACATTAATCATCGTCTTAATGGAGATCTTGTCATCTCTCTTAAGCAACTTGCTACAAAGTCCCGTATCCTCTTTCCAAGTATCTAAATCATAGCTGAAATCTTGGTTGTATTTTAGGCCGGTCACTACGAGGAACTATTGCAAAGATAATCGGAGAGGCTTGTTTCCAAACTCACCAAAGTTCATGTTTTTTCTTTGTTACCAATTGTCTACACATTATAATGTGTATCATATGACCTTAATAGCCTAAACCATTTTCAAGTATAGCAAAGACTTGTGCAAACAGAGGATCACTCTTCACTTCCTCATACTCTAGTGGCAAAGCATCCTAAATTTTCCTCAAGATAGACATTCTGCAGCTGTTGTTAATCTGCCTAACTTGAGGTTCTTTAACATGTCTAAGAAGGCGCTTGGAAAACTCTTTATCAATGCATGCACATAACAATCAAACATATGTAAGTCAAACAAAACATTCAAAGTTATTAGTAATGTAAGTGAATAGCTCCCATCAGCAAAAATAAATTGTATGTTAAACTACATGATCTCATACTCGTGTTCCTTGGTATGTTTTCCATTGAGAACCTAAACCTATGATGTAATATAGATCAAAACTGGAAAAAAGAGAACATACTAGCTTTAGCAAAACACTGAAAGTAATAAAGAGACACACACTTAAGAAAAAGAAATTTGAAATCGTCTTCATCCATGTTTTCATCAAAGAAGCTGTTTTGTTTTTATCAAAGTAACATGTGATAGCTAAAACTAAGAGAACTGGCTAACAAGACAAAGAATTACACATGAGACCAAGTGCTATTTACAGAAACAAAGTTCCCAACAAATCTAAAAGAAGATGAACTCCATGATCTTAGGAGACAAGACTATCTTTCAAACTTAAACATGACAAAGATGGTGATAAATGTTCTAATCTAAAGAAATTCTAAAAAATATAACGGAATGTACTATTTTCGAGTCACATAGCTCAAAACAGGGCAAAAGACTTATCCAATCAAACACAATAAGCAAAGATCAGGCAAGACAAAAATATTGAACCACACAAGATTTAAATGAAAGTGGCCTATCCACAAAAGATTAACACTACAAATACAAGCAACATAAACATCATCATCAAAAACCAAATGTAAGAACTTTTTAAAACTAAACTTGTAAGACGAAATAAAGATGGTTAAATATATTTCCACTAAGCACTAAGATGCATAAGTTAACACACAAAAAAACTATGAGGCCCGAAACAACAAATCTGTCAAACACAATTCATCAAACTCTATCTTAATCAATAAATTCAAACACAAACACACATAAACTTACATGAATCAAAGTGCTAAATGACTTAATAAATCTACGTGCAATCAAATTTAGAGTTTAAAAACTCACGAAAATGATACATCTAAACGAGTTACCCAAATTCAAAAGAGTCGTGAGGAGAACATTTCCATCCACTTAGAACATATATGAATTCAAGATCAAAGGTACAAGCAGCTAATACGTTTTGCGAAATGATTCCTTTTCGATTACGGTAACTAGCCTTTTCAGGATCTTGTACTATTGCATTTATGTGTGTGCCATCAATAGCTCCAACACAATCCTAACATGTATTCAAAATTGTTTATATAAAATTTCAACATATATTATTCACACAAGAAAGATATGTACCTTGAAGTAAGGATAAAATCTTGTGCTTTTACTTATTTTTGCGGGCACTATATTTGTAGGCTTGGCCATCAATGTTGTTGCAAGCATGTTTAAAGCTCTAAAAACCATCAATAATACAGCTGATTCATCTTCCTCATAAAGATTTTGTTCTATTATATAAAAACCGACAATAAAAATATTATAAAATAGTAAGATCAAAAGTGGTAAAAATGAATTTGTTCTCAATCAAAGTAACTAGCCATGACTACAATGATGAATAGAGATTGACTTTACCGTGAAAAGAAAAAAGAAAGAAGAATGAGAGAAGAAAGTCCAAACGTGAAAGGAAAAAAGAGGGTTTTTGGTTATTCTCATCAATGGGATTTTATAGTTACAAAAATATGATTGTGAAAATCTTGAGTAGAAGGTAAGATTTCGATTGCTATAATTTACACATAAAATCAATTTTTCAGATTCTTTCATATCTTTTCAAATCAAAACATTTGTGAAAATCTGTCAAACAACTATTAATATGGAACTTTAGTTGATCATTGTAAATATGATAACCAATAACAGTAGATTTCAAGCTCTTTTAATATAGACATTAGAAATATGAGAATCAATAACATTTTATTTTAAACTCTTTTAATGAAGATATTATGAATACAAGAACTAATAACACTTGATTTGAATAAAGTATTTACAATCAGTGATTGAATAGCATTGAATTTGAGTTAGAGTTAGACTTTATTAAAATCTACTAACCAATAACACCCCTTTAGTTGCTAATTGTTGTCTCTATAATTTAGGGCCTGACTAGTTTAAACGCAGCGGGTGCGGTTGCATCTACGGGAGTTTGCGGAAGCGGGCGGTTGCGGTTTCAAGCGTTATGATGCATTTTGAACGACTGGTTAAGCGGTTAAAAATTGGTGCGTTTGCGGGAGTTTTATGACTGGTTAACCAGCGGATGCGACAACAGTAAATCGAAAATGATCAAAAGAAATATAATTTATAATTATATAATAAAATATAAAAACACCAAATATTTATATTATTATGATAAAATACAAAACAATTTATATATAATTAATAATAATAAAATATATAAAATTACTACATAACTATTCAAAATAATATATTTCATAGTTAAGTGCTTATTACTTCATGCATTTGGTTCATAAAAAAACAGCATCAAGTAATATAACAAATTACAAACACAAAAAAATATGACAAACTAAAAAAATAGATGTTTTGAATTCTTAGATCCTCTGGATTAATAATTTTATTACAATACTTAGTTTGTATTTTGTCATTCTTGAGTTTAGATTGACGCCATAATTTTGGTAAATAGAAAAAATTAGGGTTTTGAGAATTAACGTTAATATATATAGGGTTTGATAAATTTTTTTTTAATTTATTTGTTATTTATGTATTTTTTAATATATATATAGGATTTGAATTAAAAAAAAAAATTTGCCAACGCTACCGCCCGCAACCGCAAACGCTTGCGGGAAGAAGCTTTTGAATTCAGCGGTATAAAACGTTTTTTATGATTGGTTTTAAACGCTATCAACCGCAACCGCCTGCAAATGCAGCGTTTGCAGGTGGTGCGTTTGCAGGTGGTAGCGGGAGAACCAATCAAGCCCTTATGGCTGTTGTAAACGTAGAAAGGGGGTTTTAATTAATAATAGTAAATAATGGAGTAATATCGTAAACTAACTAAAATATGGAGTACTGAATCTCAAATATCAATCAATTCCTCCTCCCAAAACCCTAAATCCACCTTCCGTTTCAGATCACGAACCGACACATCCTCTGCTCATCGTTTCTTCTTGACTTTGTAAGCTTCCTCAAATCTATCTCACTTTCATATATAAAGTTTCAATTTTTCCGATTCATCAGTAAAATTATTCGATTTCCAGCTTACTTGTATCTTGAATCTTAATTTAGAATTTGGTTTATTGATGAATTGAGCTTTACTTCTGCAGATTCATGGTGGTGTTTAGCTCATGATTTTGGATGTTTTGAGAACTATTAGAACTTTCTCCAGAGCTCAAAATCTTCCAAGTTCTGGTTTTTATTCGATAAGTACAAGTAAAATGCGAGATATCAAAGTCAAATCTGATTCTAAAGAGTTTCTAACGTCATCTGATGAAGAAGAAGAAGCAGTTCAGATTATTGAATCGGTTTCCATAAGAGAGTCGTCATTGAGTGTTAAATCGACACCTGAGATTGAGAAAAAGTATGTTCATCGGGTATACGATGCGATTGCTCCACATTTCAGCTCTACTAGGTTTGCTAAGTGGCCTAAAGTTGCTGCCTTTCTTGAATCGTTGCCTCCTGGGTCGGTGATTCTTGATGCGGGTTGCGGGAATGGGAAGTATTTGGGGTTGAACCCGAGTTGTTTCTTTATAGGATGTGATATAAGTCATCCGTTGATTAAAATCTGTTCGGATAAAGGGCAAGAGGTTTTGGTTGCAGATGCTGTGAATCTTCCTTATAGAGAGGAGTTTGGTGATGCAGCAATCTCGATAGCGGTTTTGCATCATTTAAGTACCGAGAATAGAAGGAAGAAAGCGATTGAAGAACTTGTTCGGGTTGTTAAGCCAGGGGGATTTGTTCTGATTACGGTTTGGGCTGCAGAGCAGGAAGACACATCGTTGCTCACCAAATGGACACCCTTGTCTGCAAAGTATGTTGAGGAATGGGTTGGGCCAGGTAGTCCAATGAACAGCCCTCGTGTGAGGAACAACCCGTTCTTTAGTCTTGAGAGCATCCCAGAGACTGAGGTGAGTGCAAAGGAGCAAAAGGCTGAGAACAGCCAGTTCATCGGTCTTGAGAGCATTCCAGAGAGCGAGGAGAGCACGAGAGAGCAAAAAGGTGAGAGCATTATCCCAGAGACCAAAGCTAGCATAGTAGAGCAAAAGGATGAGAACTCTGTTGAAGAGTCATTGGAGGCTCTGAAGAAGAGTCAACAAGAGTACTTTGTTCCATGGCATTTACCGTACCACCGTGCTGAAGTGAGTGGTGCATCTGCGTCTGCACTTGCAAGTGGGCTTGCAAAGAAAGACGATAGAAAAGGAGCTGTTGTGTACAACAGATACTACCACGTCTTCAGTGAAGGCGAACTTGAAAGGTGAGTGAGTTTTATCGAGAAATTCGCTTTCCGGTTCTCTACATAGATTCTATCCATTATTGTTTGTTAAAATGCTGGTAATAATCTTTCACAGGTTGGCATCTGGAGTAGGCAATGCAATGATAGTTGATAGATTTTACGACAAGTCGAATTGGTGTATTGTTCTTCAGAAAGCAGCTTTAAACCAAGATTGATCTCTGGTTTCAAACTCAGATATACTTTCCAAATCTTTGCGACATTGGAACTCCATTGCATATGTAATCGAAAATTATCATTGCATTTTTCATGGTTGTAGTTTGAGATTCTGTGGCAGCTCATTTTCCCTGCAATTTGTTGGCTTTAAGGGGTTTTGTATCATGTGTAACACAAATGAAAGCAAGAATTTCTCTACGTGATAAACAAGATGTAGAAATGTGATTTGTACAATACAAATGTTATCAGTGATTCATTCGCTACTTTGAATGACTGGTACCCAATTGAAAAGTAAGGTTCTTAAGAGACGAGTTGTCATCCTCTCCTGATGCTGAAGCATTTGCCTTGCCATGGGTTTTATGTCATGTCTTGACAACCTAGGAATTGAAGATGTCCTTTTTGAGAGTGACTTCCAAGCTTGGAAGACACAATACTTATGGCCGAGACTACAATGCTATACTAGTGAGATACCTGGAACATGTAGCCAATTTACTGGACCACAAATTTATAAAATATCGTGAAAGCTGTAAATTTACTCTTGGGATAACAAAACGATGAATACGTACTATTAAACATAGTTGATTAAAGAAATATTTATTGGTAAACGAAATTCATAACGTAAAAATACTAAGAAATACTCCTATTTTTCATAGATTGATTTTTTAGCCATTTCACACATATTAAGAAACACATTTAATACTTACCTTTTTAATCATTTTGTGAAATAAAAATAATTTAATAACATCACTTTTGACAGAAATATTAATTCTGCACATATCTACTAAACCTTTTTTGTTGTTGTAATAAAGCCAACTAGATAACAACCCGCACGATGTGCGGGATGAAGTGATTCAAGTAAAATTATTATGATTAAAATTATTATCCGGGATCCAAGACCCGTTTATGTAAAACGAAACATGTTACAAATTTTTTTTTGTTTTATTCAAATTTGGGACTATTTCATATAAGAATATGTTTTACCCGTGAAATATTTGAACCTTGAATAAAGCTTCAACTGATAAAAAAAATTGACGAAATGTTACCATTTATGGCAATATGTCTTTCCGTATGTTTTAAAGATTTCGAGATTTTGTAGTATAAAAAAAAAAAATTTTTTTTAATAAGTATAAGAAATCCAAAATTTAGCAAAGATGAGATTTGATAGTTTCCAAGCTAAGATTTTGTAGTGTTCCAAATCTACGATTCTTAGATTATGAATGGATTATTTACGAAATGGTTATAATGTGGCCAGATTTTGGTTTATATACAAATGTGGTTATAATGTTTTTCTTCGAAAAGTTAGAATTCCTCCAAAAAATAGGATTTTAAGTATTCGTAACATATATAGAAAGAAGATTATCTTATTTATTTAAGTAAAAAATTTATGAAAGATGTAAAGATTTTGTAGTTTTGAATTCGAGATTCTTGAACCAAATGTATATATTTTATCATTTAAATATAAACATAAATATAAATATAAATAAAAAGATTGTTTACCCATCCGCTAAAGAAAATTTATATAAATGTATATAAAAAATATATATATATAAATATAGTAATATAAGATAAACAAAAAGTGTATGTTTTTAATTATTAATGGGATATATGGATGTATGAGACTAATGGCAAATTCTGTAAATAGTCTAATAAATCTTGGGTAATTATCTAAATAGAAGCCAAATCATTGTGAGAGCGACACATCAGCATGGCAATCTTGTTAATAACACATGATGGTAAGGTTTTTTTAAAAAAATGTTTATCTATTAATATATAGGGGATTACTTCCTCTACCAACATGTTAAACTCTTCGTATTCTCACAGTAATTCTCTTTATTTCTTCTGATAAATACTTTTGTTCCTAATAAATTGAAAATTTGTAAAAAAAATTCAAATTTGGAGCCATATTTTACGTTTCTCAAAAACAAAAATTTGGAATGGAGCCAAAACGTTCTCCTTTATATATTGACATAGATTTACAGCATTTAGTAAAGAGCATTTATGGCTTTTCATAGTTTTGATCTAAATTTACCACCTCAAAATAATGAAACAGATTTTCTAATTGATTTGAATACAAGTCCAACAAGAGAGTCATTAGATGATGCTTTGGCCATATCATTTCATGAAGAACAGGAATATCATTCTCCTATTAATTTAGGTATTTTTTTTTCATTGTATTATTGATATTGTAGTATTGATCTGAATCTTTTTTATTAGTTTGTTTTTGTTTCCAATTTCATCACACAAATAAAAAGTGTAGGCTTCGATAAACGTCAAAATAGGTCAGTATGTCAAAGTGGAGAAACATGTTCTAGTAATTTCAGTTTCGTCTTTTCTCAATTTTTTTTTCATGAGCTTAATTTTTATCTTAGATGAATAATTTATTCATAAAAGTGGAGAAACATGTGCTACTATATCATAATTATTCTCCTATAAATTTTGGTATTTTTTTTTTTTCATTATTGTAAGTATTGATCAAAATTTTTTTTATTAGTTTGTTTTTGTTTCCAATTTCAGCACACAAAAGAAAGTGTAGGCTACGGTAATTACGTCAAAATAGTTTAGTATGTCAAGTGGAGAAACATGTTCTAGTAATTTCAATTTCATGCTACTGAATATGATTTTTGGTTTGGTTTTGAATCTTTCTTGTATATTAACGTGTTTTTTTTATTTTTTTGTTTTAAATATTTGTGATAGGAGAAAACATTGAGATATTTCTTTGCTTCTCAAGCAAGTAGGCCTCGTAAAAGAGAAATGACGGATCAAGAAAGATTAGAGATTTACTTTGCTTTGTTGGAAAGAAGCTTCAATGGAGAGTTGGAGAAAACGACAACAATTCGAGGAGGTCTCTAATTTATTCTCTGTACCCTTGCAAACGGTGCAACGAATTTGGCGACGGGCCAAAAATACGCCCGGTGGTGAAGTTGTCGATGTTTCACATAAGAGGAAAGGTAATTGTGGAATTAAGAAAATTGAAATTGATCTTGATCAAATTCTCGCTATTCCGCTCCATCGTCGAGCAATTTTAAGGTCATTGGCAGCTTCTTTGAATGTGAGTGTATTCGTGGTATACCGATGTCTAAAAGAAGGGCTCCTTAAACGTCATTCAAATGCCATCAAGCCAAGTTTGAAGGAAGATAATATGAGAGCTCGTTTACAGTTTTGTCTCTCCATGCTCGACAATTCTACGATGCCTAACCATCCGAGGTTTGTTGATATGTACAATGTTGTCCATATTGATGAAAAATTGTTTTACTTGACAAAAAGATAGAGACTTATTACATGCATCATATCGAAGACGAGCCGCATCGCACATGTCAGAGTAAAAACTACATTGGAAAGGTAATGTTTTTAGCAGCAATGGCTCGTCCAAGATTCGATAGAGAAGGAACTGATACATTTTCTGGAAAAATAGGGGTGTTTCCATTTGTTACAATGCAACCAGCTAAGAGACGAAGTAGAAACCGAGAGGCGGGGACTTTGGAGTTAAAGGCGATGACCTCCATCAAGAGGGAAGATATAAAAGAGTTTTTAATCGAGAAAGTTATTCCAAGCATTAGTGAAAAATGGCCATAAGAGGATTTTGGGAAAACTATCTTTATTCAACAAGATAATGCAAGAACACACGTTGATCCGAGAGATGAGGAATTTCGAGCAGCCGCTTCTCAACTTGGTTTTGATATTCGACAGTGTTCTAAAATTCGGGCAATACGCCCGTATAAGCGTTGTCTATACGCTGAACGTGAAGCCACCGTACCGAATTTTCCAGTTCCGTGGAATTAATACGGTCAGGTCGATAATCAGTCAAATTTTGTAACTTGACCAATGAAAACACTTGGTTTTGGAGTTCTTATTGGGCTAAACGTTTTAAAAGCCCACTTACGTTAATAGTTTTGGGTGGATGATCATTTTGAGTTCTTTTCAACATATTAGTTATAAATAAAATACAGATTTACCAATATACACATACCCCTCTTCAGTGAGTATTAATTTAAAATACATTTTTAGTCATAAATTCTATTTTTCTATTAGTTAATAATAAGTTAGTATTAATATATAATATTTTAAACTAAATAAGTTTGGGTATACTCTAAATATTTCTACATATATATTATTTTCTTACAAAAATACCCACCGCCTAGACCCCGCGTATACGTCCGCATATACACCTAAACGAATATTATTTGTTTGATGTGTCAACCACCAAATTCGCCGGATTTGAATATTTTGGAGCTTGGATTTTTTAGTGCCATTGGTGTGCCCGAAGACGATAGAAGAACTTGTTTCTGCGGTTAAAAAAACATTTGATGAATATCCTTCCAAACAGGTGAACCGGTTTTTTTTAACTTTGCAATTGTGCATGCAAGAGATTATGAAGGTCCGGGGCGGAAATAATTATAAAATTCCACATTTGAAAAAATCCATATTGGAAAAGGAAGGTAATTTACCATCACAAATGGCTTGTGATTCTACTTTAGTAGAAGATGTGATGGGTTATTTATCAGCTTAAGTTTTTTTTGGTTTTATGAAAGTTAGAAGACGTTTGTATTGTTCTTCATGATTTACATATATTTTGATTTTATTTCAAAGTTATTTACATTACGTCAACAATTAAACCAACAAAAAGGCATTTTGAACAGAAACCAAAAAGAAAAAAGAAAGCAAAACACTAATTCCATCATTCCATAGTACAAAGATATCTTAATAAGAATATTCTCCTTGAAATTTAATTCCATAGTACAAATTATTTTTAAATACGAGAAGGAGAAGAAGATTCTTATTGATAATTTTTTTATTGAATCTTACATCAATTTCCCGAAACTGAAAGATGCCAAAATATTTTTCAACAAAACTTCTTATTAAGATATAATAAATATAATAAATATTTAGCATATCTATTATAGTCTGTTGAACTTCTTTATTCGGGTAAAGAGCTCCATCATCATAATAAAACTTCTTGTTAAGATCGAATCTGTGTTGAACTTTGGTAACGAGATATTGTTCTTGATCCACCTTCTTCGTCTCTTCCTTCACTTCTTCCTTTATTGCATCTTTCCCTTTGTTCTCCATTTTTTTAAGGAAAACAGAGTTTTCTTTTTGTATAAAGGAGTTATAGAGGTGAACGTGTACAAACTCTAATTTGTAGTACTAGTGTATTAAATTACCATGGGAAGTTGTGTGACTATTAAAGTAAAGAAAGGACTAAAAAGGGTTTGACCATTAATTATTCCTATTAACTACTACTTTAATTAAATACAAAATCAATCTATTAAAAACAAGAAAATAAATTAAAACATCAATCTATGAAAAACGGAGGGAGTATAATACAAATTAAGAGAGATTAACTTAACAATAGAAATGCTCATAAACATAATTCAAATTATGAGATATTAGTCTAACAATTATAAATACTAAGAAATCCCAACTCCTTGTATCATACGGGTCAGGGTCCACCTTCAATTATCATTTGCTCCCAATCCATCTGATATGACCTACTGCAAGTTCGTTACTAGACCTACTGTTGCAAGCTAGAAGAATTATGAATCCCATCCTCTTTAATTTGGACATCATAGGCGCAAAATCAGGATCTGAAGTAACCACTAAAATCGTATAGGATGTGTCATAGAAAAACGTGTTGTAAAACATATCTTACTTGAGACAATGATGAGGTAAATCTTTTTTGGGACCTTGAAAGAAAAATATTTTTTAGTAAACAAAACATTAATGAAATAAAAAAAATCAAATTGTTTTAATAAATATAGTTTTACGTACCTGGAGGTCGTTCTCTTTAGCAGTAACAGAGTCTTTCTTCTAGTTCTTGGAGTTTCACTGGAAAATCTTGATGGAAAAACAGGTTCTTATCACCATAGGAAGTGTAATTACCATATCCAATAACTCTTTTAAGAAAGTATTTGTTATCAAATTTTCTGAGAGCAGAAAGAATCCTCTCAAAAATAGTAGGACATAAGCTGTTGAAAAATGTGTGGTGTTGATATCCCAATACATATGAACACCATAGTCTCTCTCATTGGTATTTATTGCAATATCCATTTTGGAATGAGAAAGAAATGTTATAAATGTTAGGATTGTGTAAATGTTTGTCGTAGATGATAGACTTTTATATTAGATTTTACACTACAGGAAACGAGGGTATTAATAGCAGTATAATATAGCGTTTTTGATAGTTCTGCTATAGTTGAGTTTTGAGAAAATTTTCATAGCGTTTCTAAAAAGGCAAACGCTATGGTAAGATGACCGCAAAAATATTTCGTAGTGGTGCTTAGTTTTTGGTTTTACGATAGCATATTATAGAGGTAACCGGGAAAGTGAAAATTTCATTGCCTCCAAAATAATTTTTAAGTAATAACACAATAAATAAATAAAGGGAAAAAACCTGAAAAATACCCCATCTATTTTTAATTTGGACGTTTAATACCTAGCTTTTTTTTGTTGGAAGAAAAATACCTTCTTTAATTATAATTGGTCGAAAAATACTTTATCTTTATATTATTGGTAAATTCAAACCTCTGATTTAACGGTCGTTAACGGACGTTACGGTATCAGTAAACGACGTTATATTATAACAAAACAAATAGCCGAAAAATGCTTCATCTATTTATTTTTGGATTTTTAATACCCAAACTTTTTGGTTGGAAGAAAAATACCTCATTTAAATATTTTTGTCTAAAAATACCTCATTTTTGAATTGTTAGTATATACAATATTTATACAAACTTTTATAAATATATTGCTTGATCTAATGGTAACACGTATGATTTTTAACCCGCATAGAACTTCTTTTGATCTCCTATTTTCTTTAATGAATGACATACAAATTTGAATACATCATTTGCTTCACGGGAAAACGGCATTTTTCAACCTCAACTATTTGTTGGCGGGTTTTTCCAGCCCAAACTATGACCCCCAGTCAATTTCAATCCAAACCCAAAAATTATTCAAAATCGAAACCTAAACTAATGCAAATGAGCCGATTTCAACACGACGCGAAACAATTTTAGTTCGCAAGTTAACGGTTCTGAATGTTATTTGATTTTATTTTCAGGGTTTGCTGAATGCTGTAAAGAGAGAATTACCCAAGGTTGAGCAACCGTTAACTTCTGAACTAACACCGTTTTGCGTCGTGTTGAAATCGGCTCATTTGCATTAGTTCAGGTTTCGATTTTGAATTATCTTTGAGTTTGGGTTGAAATCGACTGGGGGTCATAGTTTGGGTTGGAAAAACCCGCCAGCAAATAGTTGAGGTTGAAAAAGGCCGTTTTCCCTTTGCTTCACTCCTACAAATTTAAATACATCCTTTTTTCATTCCTAAAGGCATCGTTGGAGTTAGAAGGGTTTTTGTGATAGTGATTTTGATGATGGAATGTAACGATTCTGCAACTAACAAATGAGAGATTGTGACAAAGATGACGACGACGATAGATTTGTCATTTTTGTGGTCATGGAGTAGCATAGTTGCGGAAGTGGAGAAGAATTTAGGTAAAAGTGGAGAGATGAAAGAAATGGTTCGAGAAAGATTGAGTTTTGATCGTATTAACGAAGTAATATTGAGTTTCGATCATACCAATATATTTGTAAAATTTTGAAAATAAATTGTATATATCTATTTATATACACAGGGTTAATATTTAACGTCGTTAAATATTTCTGTAATATTGTTAACGATTGTTAAGTTGCAGACTTGAATCCACTAATAATTTAAAATGAAGTATTTTTAGACAAAGATATTTTACATGAGGTATTTTTCTTCTAACCAAAAAGTTGGGGTATTAAAATTCCAAAAATAAATAGATTGGGTATTTTTCGGCTATTTTTTTGTTATAATTTAACGTCCTTTACTGATATCGTTACGTCCGTTAACGACCGTTAAATTAGAGGTTTGAATCTACCAACAATTTAAAGATAAGGTATTTTTCGACCAATTATAATTAAAGAAAGTATTTTTCTTCCAACAAAAAAAAATAGGTATTAAACGTCCAAAAAAAAATAGATGAAACAGTTTGTGAAACACTTTGCCATCTCTTCTCTCTTCTTTCTTCTTCTTCTCCGACTTGAGTTTTCGGCGATGGGAAACGAGAAGCCGGCGATTGTGATGGCCAATCCTGAAAGAGGTTGAGAGCTTTTGATTCCCGTCGCTGATTCTGGCCATCTTCTTCTTCTCATCAATCCAACCACGAGGTCTAGTTTTCTTTTCACCTGATCTGGAATCTTGTTATTCGTTTTCTCATTTCAAGATTCATGTGAAATTAACAGTAGAATTGGATTGAATTAGAATTGGAATTGGATTGTGGTCTGATGCTTTAGCTATTTTCTGCAAACTTTAAGCTTGTTCATGGCGTCGAAGAAGTTCATGACAGGGTGGTAAGCAAAAGTTGAAATTTTGCATTTGAGATTCATGATTTGTGCTAATAGTTTTAAATCTCAATTGCTTTTTGCATATAGAACTCTCAATTCAATTACCATCTTCCTCCTCTTTCTCTCTCAGATCATTGGCAGCTCCAGCTCGATTAAAATAATCTGCCATGACCTCACACGCTTGTCTTCTTCTTCAAAAACTGCCCAAAGGTACACACACTAAACCCCGAAAATCTTACTTAACAAATCTGTTTTGGTGTTCTTCGCTGTCATTGAATTCGATTTTTGTTTGCATGTGTTCAGATATATATTTGTAAGCATCTTGTTGATATACTCGCTGTTCTACTTGATGAGAAGAATATATTCAAATAGAGCGTAACTATTATCGGACCTCCTGATGATACTCTCTAGTACGTTCCCTTCTAAGACACTATTTTATCTATCTTCTTGATTTGATAATCCATGTGGATCGGTTTGTTGGAATGTATATTTGCTTTTGGGTTTTATTGATTTTGCTTTCTCTGGATTACATTGGACTAGTGTTATTGTGGAATTGAAATTGAATTGCTTTGTCGTGTTTCTCTTGCTTAATATGTTTTCATGAAGAATATGTATCTAGTTGTTTATTCTTGTTTCGTTTTGTTAATGGTCTATCATGATAATTTTTTATATGATGCATCCTAATGTAAGAGTTTACTGATGCTTTTTCAAGGTCTTAAGAAGCTTTCAAGCATTTGTATTTTTTCTTACATATTTTGATTTTTGTTCTGTAATTGGTTTAAGCCTTCAGGTGTTACTTGAAGATGTTGGGACTGGAAAATCGAGTCTTGTGTTACGGTTTGTCAAATATCAGTTTGTTGAATTCCAGGTTTATGGTAGTTTCTCCAATGGTCTTACCTGCTTTATTGTTTGTTCACATTTTGTATTCTTCTTGACTTTGATAAATATTTTCGCTTCAGGAATCAACCAAACACTAGATGACTAATATAAGCTTCATCTCCAAGGATAATGGTAAAGCCCTTAAGTAATCACATCACTAAAGCTTTAATTTGAGAGTACATCACATCACTTACCACACACACACACATGTCCCTGTGTAAGCTTCTTATCTTCCTCAAGTTGAATTGTTATCAATCTTTCAATCTCAGATATGAACAAAAGCAGCTTCAAGCAAGATGTGCTCGTATTAAGGCAATGCCAAGGTGGTTGTTGTATCAAGAAGATAATGTTGTCCAAGAACAGCAAAAACCGCAAGCCACCAAAGGATGAAAAGAAGTTTGAAATTGGATTGATGTTTTTTTCTCTTTCTAAATTTTGATTATTTACATTTGAAATCGAAAAATAGTCAAGTTTTGATATGTACCAAGGAAGAAAAAAAAATACAACAAATTTTACGAAGAACATAAAATATAATAGAAAATAATTAAACAACTACAAAACACAAAATAAAATAATAAGGAATCTTAGTGAGTTTTGATTTAGAGTTTAGGGCATAGATAGGGTTTGAGGTTTAGGGTATAGAATTGCAAAAATATAATTTTCTACGGATTAAGGAATATTTAATTTTGGGAATATAAATCACACTTGTAAAATATTTCTTCTGCTAATTCTCAATTAAGAAAAAATAAAATAAAAAAAGATAAAATTAATGAGTATATGATTTAGAGTTTAGGGCATAGATAGGGTTTGAGGTAAGGTATAAAATTTATTGTTAATAAATTATAATTTTTTTTTTATGGATTGATGAATATTTAATATAAGGTATATAAATTGACACTTGTAAAAATATTTTTTTGGCTAATTCTCAGGAAGAAAAATAAAATAGAAAGTTAATGAGTTTTTGAATTAGAGTTTAGGTTATAGGGCTTAAGAGTATAGGATTTGAGATATATATTTTTAGTGTTATTAACAATAGAAATATAATATATTTTATGGATTAATGAGTGTTCGATTTAAGTTATAAAATTTTCAAAATTTATAAGTATAATTATTTTCTAAATCCTAAACTCTAAACCCCAAACACAAACCCTAAACCCTAAACTTCTAACCCAAAATATAATAACTAACATGCAAATGGAGTTGACCATAAAATTATTTGGAAATTGTTTTAGGAAATATAATATGTCTTACATTAATTTACCACATATCAAAAAATTAATCTACTAATAAAAAGAAATAATAACAAACATGCTAAACATTCAAAATGAAAATAAAAACGCTGGCTTTTGATTGGCTATTCTGTAAAGGTGAGGATCACAGTTTTGTTTAATATGTACCGTTGATAAGATTAGATCTGACGGACACAAGTTTTATTCTTTATTTTTATTTTTCTCTTCCCTTCTCTTCGTCTTTTTCCTCCTCAATTTCTCTTTCTCGCCTCAGCCGCCATAGATAATCAGTAAGACTTCTCTTCTACTTTCTCCTATGAGTCTCCCTCCTTATAGACGTAGTGTAGCTTTGTCTTCCTCCTCATCTTGTCCCTTTTTTAAAAGGGAAATTTCTTTGGAGATAAGGGAGGAGTTCTTCATGTCTTTGCCAATTGCTCTTGAAGATACCCAAGTCTCAGTTCCAGTGAAATTGAAATCGAACTCTTCATGTCGTCGCCAATTGCTGCTTCAAGATCTGGTAAAGAAAGATTTGTCTTCTCTGAAATTTAGTTTAAGGGATTCTATTATGCTTTTTTTTTTAACTTTATAACACTCTTGATTTCTGTATTTTTTTAATAAGTAGTGATTTGTTACTGCAGATAGAGGAAATCTACAACGAGTGAGATGGAGACTCCGACTCTTTTCTTCCATCACGGTAATTTATTTGCATTTTTAAGTTTGTGTTCACAACCTCTCTTTGAAATTTATTTATCTGGAATTGATTTTTATGTTTTATTCAATCTATTCAGGCGAACATTGCAAGTGGAGATCTACAGCGACCAAGCGAGATGAAGATACATATTGCTGTTCGTGTATGGGTATTGACTCGAACCAAAAAAAGTTTCATTTTTTCTTCCATGATGGAACTCGTTGTCCATTAGTTCTGGATGTTGATGTTCTTATTTGTGTTTGGTTGATTTCTGTAGCTACTTTGGTAAAGAAGGAAGCTTGATGATTGAAGAAGATTAAGAAGTTCGAGAGTTGCATTGTGTTTTTATTTTTTGTTTTTTTTCGACATGGGCTCATAGGCCTATTGGGTATATAAGAAGAGAAGTTTCGGTAGTAGGATTGTTTTGTATATGATTATGTTTTTAATTACAAATATATATAATTAACATAGTTATTTGTTTCCTAAAAAATAATGAAATGATTCAAATATTTTAATATAAATAAAATTGGATTAAAACAATAATTTTGTAAATCACAAATTTTAAAATTTATTTTTTTGTACCATACATGAATCAATGGCATATTTTCACCGTTATTGTAAAAAATATAATTGCTATAGATAATACAAGAATTATAACATATATACTGACTGCTATAAAAAAGTTACAAAACATGTTGTTGATAAAATAGTTTATAGCAAAATATAATTGCTATTGTATTAATAACAATTGCATAGATAAAAGCGCTATTATTATCTTAAAAATGATAGCAAAGCGGAAAAGCGCTATCTAAAGTGATAGACCTACTATCGCGAGCGATGACATAGCGTTTTCTATAACGCTATTGTATCTTTACATAGCGTTTTTCTGTTGTTATAATACTCAATTTTCCTGTAGTGTTAAAAAGGTGGGATGTAAATGCGCACCTACTAAAGTAATTAATAATAAGGTCAATGTGTGGATGTGGGCGATTCTATTGTACTGATCCACAGTTTGTCTTTTTCATTTATTATTTTCATCACCACATCCATTTAAAAGTTCACGGCTTTTGGAAAAAAAAAAAGAAATTCACAGCTTTTGACAAATCAATGAGTAATCAATTCTCTGCCCTTGATTCATTGGATGCAACAAGATGAAGACACCTGTCCTAGTCTTCTAGGGTTTTCAAGCTTTCATCTTTGTGTATAAATACACATTTATCACCATTGTAAAACCCTAACAGTTATCAAAATGAAAGATTAAAAGTTCATCTTTTCTCATATCTCAAACTCCCTTCACCTTCTTCCCCAACTAGAACTCACTCAAAACGACGAGTGCCAATGCAGAGGGAATTTTAACGCTGATGGAGTCTGAAAAGAACCTTCATCTCTTGGACCATCTCTTGGAGAGAGAGCGTGTAAGGTTGATGAAGTCTCTCCTGCGTGATAGACAAAGCCATCAGGAGTAGATAGAGATGGAGTGTGGAATGCTGTGGATGGGCTACCGAATGAGACCGGGATTGGGGATGGGGTCTGGAATGACATTGGGATTTCAGATCTTCTAGTGAATGGAGAAGCAAGCAAGTTCCACTGAGGAGACCGAGGAGGCGGAGTAGATAGAGCTTGAGTAGATAGAGATGGAGTATCAACGCTAAAGGGAGGAAGAACTGCTGAACCAGCTGAAGAAGATGGAAAAAAATTTCTTTTGAACTTGAATACAAAGAGGAAGAGAAGAAAGAGGATGATGATTAGCACACTGAGAATAGCAATCTCAACAACTTCAACCATTGTCAAGAGGAATTAAGAAGAAGAGAGAGATAAATTATCAAAGAAACAAAAATGGAGGTGTTAAGTGAAATCTGAGAACCACCACACTGCTTGATCTCATTAGCAGCTCAACAGCCTACAAGAGGAGAAGAAACTGAAATCAGTTGAAATCAAAGTGAAGAGTATCAATCAAGCGGGAGCATCAAAACTCAAAGAAGCTGAACGCTCGGAGATTCCAAGCAAGATGGAGGAACGACATCAAAGACTGAATTGTACCATCTCGTTGTAAATAATCCTTATACTCCGACTCGACCACGGGCATTGATCCTCCTTGTGAGCTTATTTCCACATAATCATCACCTATACATTAGAACAAACCACATTGACCATTCATTTCATTCATTCATATGACCATTCAACTCATTCATGCATTGACACTTCTTTAATTCATCGGCATATCTTGAAATTTTTCTTACAAAATCACCATAAGTTTAAAATTTATAAAAGGGATTATATATTTTCGTGGATTTACATTTTTCTCTTGTTATATTCTATATCATCAAAAACCATAAAAAAATCTTGTATTTATATTGTAGAAAACAGTTGGAGATCACAAAATGTGAGAAAAATATTTAGTTTTCAATATATTTAACCTTCAACATTTAATGGATTATCAAAAACCATAAATACTCAAGTACATGTGTTACTTACCTATCCACTAGATGGAAAAATATCTATGCCACTTTACTATCTTTTGTTACTATGCAATCAGTGAGTGCACCTGCTCTCATAAGATAAGACAAAAAAGTGGCCACACTTAAGCTCCAAATGGAGAAAATGTATCGGACGGAGCGGACAGAGCGAACAGAGCGGATCAAGCGGATCAAGCGTATCAAGCTGAACAAAAGCAGATCAAGCAGATCTGGCGGATCAAAACCTGATCAAGCGGTTCGAACACTTTAAATATGTGTTGAATGGTGAAAACGGATCATGCAATGCGGATGAAAACGTTAATGTTAAATAAAATATTTTACATAAACTATACATACTAAAAACAATCATATTAAAATAAATTTATAATACTGATTTAACATATTATTGTTCATGCATTTAAAAATAGTTATAAATGCACTCAAATTAAATATCTAAAAATGTATTTCAATTTTGGATAAAATATATTATAAAATAATATACATATTATTATAACTCACTAAAAAGAGATAAGATAATGCAAGTAAAAATATAATATTTGTAATTGAAGTATTTTAAATCACTACTCGAAATATAAAGTAACATTCCAAGAGGTAACTTTTGATAATCTATAGTATTTGATAAATTTGGATCAACTTTCCAAGAGGTAAACTTTTGCAAAGTCATGGTAGTCTTAAGAACTTTTAACTCCAGCATATTATGCAAATCCATTCTGCATAAAATTAAGTGACTGGTAAGCCAATGAACATCACATAAGCCATATTGTATATTGTTTTGTTTCTATAATATAAAATAAGTGTCTGACTAAAAAAAAAGTGTGATGAAGAAACTTACATCAGTAACTTGCTTAGATTCAAACATAAATTTCTGGTACTTACATCAGTAACTTGTTTCGTAAATTGTGTGTTTACTTGTTTGTTATTTTGGACAAGTGCTCGAACCCACGAAACGTAGAGAAACACACAAGTGGCGATACCACACACAGGAGCGAGGATTAGGACAGCAGTATGTGGATAGAAATCCATTGAAGAAAATTGAAACCCTAAATAGAGAAGTGCAGGAGTTTGAAGGAGAGAACGAGAAAAAAGAACTTAGTGAAGTAGGATTACGACAACTGTATGAGGATCAATTCCAATGAAGAAATTGAAACCCTAAGAAAAAATAGAGAATTGCAGGAGCTGGATGTAGGAGAGAAAGAGAAAACAGAACTTAGTGAAGGAGTTTGAAGGGCGAGTTTGTCGAGAAACAGAGATTTAGAATTTCTATAAACTGCAGAAAAAGAACTTAGTGTAATCATACTAAGCTACTAAGTCAAAGCCTATATTGTTTTTTTTTTTTTTTTGACAGAGCCTATATTGTTAAATAGCGTGATGTATTTTAGATTATCTATTACTAGTATTAGAACCCGTACTTCGTACGGGAAAAACTGGTTTATATTTGTTTGACCATGAGAAAAAAATAGTTTCAAATGTTAGCGTGTGAAAAAATATAAACCTGAAATTTTACACAAATGCTTCAGATCCCTTACGTCGCCGTCTTCGTTTTCTACACGATATGAGAAAAGCAACAAATCTATGATATCATTTCTGTGACGAATTTAAAGGGATGAGTAAAACGAATTTCTGTGACGAAAACAATTGTAAAAGTTATTGGGTCGAAGCTTTTGTTTTGCAGAAAGAAGAACACAAACAACAAAAACGGTCTCGGTGGTTTTTTTTATCCTTTTGATGATTTCCTAATATATAAATGACTGAACAAATTTCAGTTGTTTTTAATTTAAAATTGCAGATATCGTGGAGGAGTGAAAAAACAGTTACTCAGAAAACTAGATTTTTAATTTATTTTGCATTTATTACTTTTGTTATATTGTATTTATAAATATTTTTTAAAACAAAATCCATGTGGCAGATTTTTAGTGGTCATTTGACTTGTGGCAAATTCTATTTCTTTTCTTTTTCTCTTTTTACCACGCTCGAAACCTGTTCTTTTAATTGATTTAAAAAAAATTAAATTAGAAAATAAATATCTATGTGGCATAACATGATTGGCCAGGTGACTTGTGATTTATAAGATAAAGGATACCAATATATTTATTTGTTAAAATAATCATAATTAGATATTTATGGAAGTCCCTATAAACTTTGGAAAATCTTACAAACTAGGGTGAAAAAAATATTTATGATTCGATTTATTTTTTACGGATACCTTGTGATTCGATTTATTTTTGACGAATATCTAATTTTCCGATGCTTCGAAAAATTTTATATATCTAAGATTACGGATATCCGGATTTTCGCGGATATTTGTTTTAAACAAAAAATATTTAAACACCATAATATTTTTTTAAAAAAATGTTTTAATATAAGATTTAAATTAGTTAATCAATAAATATATGAAATTAGTTTAATTTTATTCGATAAATTGTAACTAATTTTAAAGAACTAAATAGCATTTCATATATGCGATTAATTAAATAGCATATATAGAAATTAAGTATTTAAACAAAACTTTTCGGGTCCTTGTGGAGTACACATTGGAGTGGCAAGGACCATAGCGGAGGAGGGATCGATTTCCTAAATTGTTTTAAAAAAATCAGTAATAGAGAAAAAAAATTATAAAATTTACACAGTGAAAGAATGATAATAACCTTTTCGTCGAAGTTAATTGTTGTTGTGAAAGATGTTGTGAAACCAGGAGTAGTATGGAAGTTGTTACCAGAAACCTGTGTGAGAGTCCCTAAGTTTAATATTTATAAAAGGGATTCTATATTTTCGTGGATTTACATTTTTCTCTTGTTATATTCTATATCATCAAAAACCATAAAAAAATCTTGTATTTATATTGTAGAAAACAGTTGGAGATCACAAAATGTGAGAAAAATATTTAGTTTTCAATATATTTAACCTTCAACATTTAATGGATTATCAAAAACCATAAATACTCAAGTACATGTGTTACTTACCTATCCACTAGATGGAAAAATATCTATGCCACTTTACTATCTTTTGTTACTATGCAATCAGTGAGTGCACCTGCTCTCATAAGATAAGATAAAAAAGTGGCCACACTTAAGCTCCAAATGGAGAAAATGTATCAAACGGAGCGGACGGAGCGAACAGAGCGGATCAAGCGGATCAAGCGTATCAAGCTGAACAAAAGCAGATCAAGCAGATCTGGCGGATCAAAACCTGATCAAGCGGTTCGAACACTTTAAATATGTGTTGAATGGTGAAAACGGATCATGCAATGCGGATGAAAACGTTAATGTTAAATAAAATATTTTACATAAACTATACATACTAAAAACAATCATATTAAAATAAATTTATAATACTGATTTAACATATTATTGTTCATGCATTTAAAAATAGTTATAAATGCACTCAAATTATATATCTAAAAATTTATTTCAATTTTGGATAAAATATATTACAAAATAATATACATATTATTATAACTCACTAAAAATAGATAAGATAATGCAAGTAAAAATATAATATTTGTAATTGAAGTATTTTAAATCACTACTCGAAATATAAAGTAACATTCCAAGAGGTAACTTTTGATTATCTATAGTATTTGATAAATTTGGATCAACTTTCCAAGAGGTAAACTTTTGCAAAGCCATGGTAGTCTTAAGAACTTTTAACTCCAGCATATTATGCAAATCCAGTCTGCATAAAATTAAGTGACTGGTAAGCCAATGAACATCACATAAGCCATATTGTATATTGTTTTGTTTCTATAATATAAAATAAGTGTCTGACTAAAAAAAAAGTGTGATGAAGAAACTTACATCGGTAACTTGCTTAGATTCAAACATAAATTTCTGGTACTTACATCAGTAACTTGTTTCGTAAATTGTGTGTTTACTTGTTTGTTATTTTGGACAAGTGCTCGAACCCACGAAACGTAGAGAAACACACAAGTGGCGATACCACACACAGGAGCGAGGATTAGGACAGCAGTATGTGGATAGAAATCCATTGAAGAAAATTGAAACCCTAAATAGAGAAGTGCAGGAGTTTGAAGGAGGGAACGAGAAAAAAGAACTTAGTGAAGTAGGATTACGACAACAGTATGTGGATCAATTCCAATGAAGAAATTGAAACCCTAAGAAAAAATAGAGAATTGCAGGAGCTGGATGAAGGAGAGAAAGAGAAAAAAGAACTTAGTGAAGGAGTTTGAAGGGCGAGTTTGTCGAGAAACAGAGATTTAGAATTTCTATAAACTAGCGATCAAATCGCTGCAGAAAAAGAACTTAGTGTAATCATACTAAGCTACTAAGTCAAAGCCTATATTGTTTTTTTTTTTTTTTTGACAGAGCCTATATTGTTAAAGAGCGTGATGTATTTTAGATTATCTATTACTAGTATTAGAACCCGTACTTCGTACGGGAAAAACTGGTTTATATTTGTTTGACCATGAGAAAAAAATAGGTTCAAATGTTAGCGTGTGAAAAAATATAAACCTGAAATTTTACACAAATGCTTCAGATCCCTTACGTCGCCGTCTTCGTTTTCTACACGATATGAGAAAAGCAACAAATCTATGATATCATTTCTGTGACGAATTTAAAAGGATGAGTAAAACGAATTTCTGTGACAAAAACAATTGTAAAAGTTATTGGGTCGAAGCTTTTGTTTTGCAGAAAGAAGAACACAAACAACAAAAACGGTCTCGGTGGTTTTTTTTATCCTTTTGATGATTTCTTAATATATAAATGACTGAACAAATTTCAGTTGTTTTTAATTTAAAATTGCAGATATCGTGGAGGAGTGGGAGAACAGTTACTCAGAAAATTAGATTTTTAATTTATTTTGCATTTATTACTTTTGTTATATTGTATTTATAAATATTTTTTAAAACAAAATCCATGTGGCAGATTTTTAGTGGTCATTTGACTTGTGGCAAATTCTATTTCTTTTCTTTTTCTCTTTTTACCACGCTCGAAACCTGTTCTTTTAATTGATTTAAAAAAAATTAAATTAGAAAATAAATATCTATGTGGCATAACATGATTGGCCAGGTGACTTGTGATTTATAAGATAAAGGATACCAATATATTTATTTGTTAAAATAATCATAATTAGATATTTATGGAAGTCCCTATAAACTTTGGAAAATCTTACAAACTAGGGTGAAAATAATATTTATGATTCGATTTATTTTTTACGGATATCTTGTGATTCGATTTATTTTTGACGAATATCTAATTTTCCGATGCTTTGAAAAATTTTATATATCTAAGATTACGGATATCCGGATTTTCGCGGATATTTGTTTTAAACAAAAAATATTTAAACACCATAATATTTTTTAAAAAAAATGTTTTAATATAAGATTTAAATTAGTTAATCAATAAATATATGAAATTAGTTTAATTTGATTCGATAAATTGTAACTAATTTTAAAGAACTAAATAGCATTTCATATATGCGATTAATTAAATAGCATATATAGAAATTAAGTATTTAAACAAAACTTTTCGGGTCCTTGTGGAGTACACATTGGAGTGGCAAGGACCATAGCAGAGGAGGGATCGATTTCCTAAATTGTTTTAAAAAAATCAGTAATAGAGAAAAAAAATTATAAAATTTACACAGTGAAAGAATGATAATAACCTTTTCGTCGAAGTTAATTGTTGTTGTGAAAGATGTTGTGAAACCAGGAGTAGTAGGGAAGTTGTTACCAGAAACCTGTGTGAGAGTCCCTGCACGTTTTTAAGGACATATATATAGATTTTTAGGGTTTTGTTTTAGAGACATCTCTCATATTCTCATTCTATTGTATTTTTGGAGCTTGAACCCTTTGGGAGATAATTGGAGAGAGCTCCTCCAGAGAAGATTTCTTAAACTCTTTTACTTCTTCTCTTAATTTCTTTATGTTTTCTATTCATAACATGTTGTTTGTTTCAATCTCCATGTCTGAGTAGTTTGCTTGTTAGGTTTAGGGATTCTCATTAGGGATTTAGATGAATTAGTAAATCGATTACCTGTTAGGATTAATCCATAGAGTTCTTCATCTAGGTTGTTCTTAATGCTAGTTCTAGCTTGATCACCTAGAACTTGATCTTAGGATAATAGGTATTTGATCCGAGAGGGCACCTGTTACCTGAACTACTTTAGATGAGCCTGGTTTATAGGTGTGTAATAAGAATCGGCCTATCTACTAAGGTGAACATATCAAACCTGAATTAAATGCTAGTCTAGATCTAGGAATTCGCATCGAGAGGTGGAATTACTGATATTAGGCTTGTTAGTTATCGCATCGAGAGGTGGTTAGCTATTCATTAGTGATTTGAGTTCAAGAACGGTTCGTTAAATAATCCTAATTAAGTTGCTAGATTTACTATTAGTTTATATCCTGAGAAATCCCTAAGCCTGACGTTTTCCCCATCTGATTTAAAACCCGGTTTATTTGTTTTCTTTTATTTTTAATATTCATATTTTCTGTTTAGCTTAATTCGAACCCTGTTAGTCTATTGTGTGAACACGAGAGCTTTGTGGAATTCGACCCTAAAGTACTGCAATTGATCTCTTATTTGAGAGAGTAGTCTTAGGTCTTAATTTGACTCACATCAAATTTGGCGCCGTTGCCGAAGTTCTCTTCGCTTCACCATTAGATTAGGTGTAGAATTTAGTCTAAACTTTTCTTTTTTCTTGTTACTCACGTGATTTTTATTTCTTTTGTTTCTTGTGTTTCAGGGACTTAAGGAATTCAATCACAACAATCAGATGTATGATTTCTACGAGAGTGTCGAGCGACACCATCAGGGTGTTGATCGACACCATACGGGCAACAGGCCGATGACTCTTGGTGACTACAACAGGCTCGACTTGTTCTATGAGAATCGACGTGCAATTAGACCCCCTGCGTTTGAAAGAAGCGACGATTTAGGTCTCCAACCTGCATTCTATACTCTTGTGAGTCAGCACCCGTTTCACGGTCTTCCACATGAACAACCAATGGATCACATCGAGAGGTTTGAAGATTTGGTTTCAATCATCAAGGCACGGGTTGTTTCAGAGGACTATCTACATCACAAGCTTTTCTCATACTCTCTTGTTGGGGAAGCAGCTTCTTGGCTTAAGGAGTTGATTCCAGGATCTTTGACAACTTGGCAGCAGACAAAGATGGCTTTTCTGAGAAATTTCACCAAGAACTACGGTTCTTCTCCTTACCAAGCCCTCCCTCCACCCACTTCTGTGAGTAAGATAGAATCCATGCTGGGACAGATTCAGGAGAGTTTGGAGAGAACCTTAGAGCGATTCCCAAGGATTGAGAACAATCTCACAACTGCTAGCCACGATGTTTTGATGGAAAGTGAAGATGAGTTCGCTGAAATTGAGGAGAATGATGCTGATTTTCTGGTTGCAGAGGCAGTGTCGACCGACACCAGTACAGAAATCCGAGATATCAAGCTGTGACGAAACACAATTGACCTGCCTCGACACTGATTTACAGGATCCCTCGACACGTAGTCTTAGTGTCGACCGACACCACCTGGGTGTCGATCGACACTCCTCCGGTACGGAAGCAGAATCGACGTTTGACGAAGCAGAATCGAGTGAGCTCGACACAGAGGAGTCGACGCCAGACAGTAGTGTCGACCGACACTCACCTAGTGTCGATCGACACTGGACACGAACTGCACCATATGCTCTTGTGTTTCCACCGCAGCCTAAGAAGTCCGAGCAGGATACGGGAACAGCAATGCAGATGGAAGCTGGAATGGCTTTTCAGTACATTACCTTTGATGATAACTGTAAGCTCGAAGTTCCACTTCAAAGATATGTCGAGAAGATGATTACTAAAGGTGTCAGTGTTGAGGACGCAAGCTTGCTTACCAAAGACATCAGTGCTATCTTGGTGTATGAGGATCCAGAGAAGAAGCCGAACATGAGGCAGTCAGTGGCTATCTCCAAATTAGTCAATGCCATGATTCAGTGTAGCATCCCAGAGAAGTTACCTGATCCAGGAAGCTTTGTGCTAGATTGCAACATATCCACCATTGATGGTCAAGCGTTTTCTGTAAAGACTTCCAAAGACATTACTGCTGGATATGTCAAAGAGTTGGATTCTATTGAGAAAGTGAGTATCCAAGCTTCTAATCTTGAGGATTGGAGTGGTGACCATCTCTTCCGCACTAGGCTCCAGGATGAAGCACAGATCGGTGATAATTTGCTGCAGATTGCTGAACCACATTGCAGAAACAAAGCAGAATTTCGAGCTGCAGACTCAGTGTCGATCGACACCACCATTGTGTCGGTCGACACCAGCTTTGACGAGACGGACCTTTGTCGACCACACCATCTCGCAGTCGACACAAAGCGTCGACACACTGCATTGGTGTCGATCGACACCATCTTTGTCGATGGACACCCCACACGGGCTGAACCAGAACTGTCTACTAAAGCTACTTTGCAAGTTCAGATCACTGCTGATATTCCAGGACCTGTTGTCACGACAACCAATGCACATCTACCACTGCATCCACCTCCGAAAAGGCTACGGTACTCATCTCTTCCGCCTAAACCTCCTGATTTCATCAATAAGACTTTACAATTTCCAAAAACTGTTTTACGGTTTAGCAAGCCACTAGTTTCTCGTCGAGCGCTTGTTCTTTCTTTTGATGATTGTGCAGGAAAACGGAGTAGACCACCCATACCTCTGTCCTGCCCTGCTGATGTTCCGCACTTCCTAGGTCAACCTCACATGCCAACTGCTTAAACGCCACCTTGGATGATGCGAGGTTCTACTAGGAAGTATTTACTTCCACCATCTGATCCACCTGATTCCTGAACTCCGACATAGTCATGCTAATGACTGAAAATAAGCGCTTAGTGGGAGGCAACCCACTGGTATGATTTTATTTTTCTTTTTCTTTTATATTACGTTTTTCTTTTATTATTTTTCGCTAACTTCGGGTTTGAATGCCACTGGGGACAGTGTCGTTTAAGTCTAGGGGACGCAGTTACTAACTACGTTTTTCTTTTTGATTCTTATTCTTATTTTTCTTTTCTTTTGAGTCGTTTTATTGAGTCAAAATTTTGTTAGAAATTCTGATCTTTTTCTCTAGAATATTGCCTGGTTAGTTTAATGCTGCAGATTCAAATCAATCCGACTAATGGAAAATCCAGAGAGTTAATCGATAGACCAGAGGACATCCACGTTTCCAACACAATCCGCTAAAGCCTGAGCAAGTTCATGCTCTTCACCTCGTTAATACGGTTAGTATTCTCAGAACTTGACTCCTCGTTCATACCTGATAAATGAGACCAATGTGGAAAAGAATGGTATTCCTCTCCCTTATTCAAAAAAAAAAAAAAAAAAAAGATTGAGATGATTTTCTTTTGGAGTAAAGAGATAGGAAAATTTTCCGTGATCTCATTATTTTACTTCAAGAGGAATGATCACACGAAGGTTGGAAGCGAGGTTAGGAAAATTTCCGATGATACCATTATTCGCCTACACCTTTGAAGTTAAAAAAAAAAAATGGTTTGAAAAAGAATAAGTCTGGGGGAGAAAAAGAGTACCTAAATATGTTGTAATGGTTGATTTATCATGGTATAGTACGGGAATGAGTCTAGAAGGTTCTTGAATACTGATTTTATTGATGAGATTTATGCGATGAGGGCTATAGGATATAGTTGTGGAATTTGGTTTGGAATTTGGAATGTTGAGAATGCTTGCGGAGAATTACATGGTGGTTAGGATTTGATGCGATCTGCTAGGCATATGGATTTTGTTTGAATAATCAAGGCAATAGGCTAGAGAAATTAGGAGTTTCTGTGTTTTCAAACTTCTTCCACGGGTTCGGTTTTTGTGTTTTGCTTGAGGGCAAGCAAAAGCTAAGTCTGGGGGAGTTGATATATCACGGATTTTACCGATTTTAGTCGTGATATATGTACTGTTTTTAGAGTCTTTTTGTTGTTTCTAGTATCTTTTTGAGTCTTTTCAGGTTTATACACGTTCGGGACCAATTTGGAGATTATGGATCATTCTGGAGCAAAACCGAGAAGTTATGCTGCGCGAGCAATCTGGAGACGAAAATACGTGCAAGTGTCGAACGACACCACCCCTGGTCGACACCAAGATCTGACGGCAATTGAATTTCGCGTCTTATTGAAGTTATGAAGATTTGCAGATTCGCCCCAGAAATTTTCTCTATTTTCAAAGAAGTCCCTGCACGTTTTTAAGGACATATATATATATATATATATATATATATATATATATATATATATATATATATATATATATATATTTAGGGTTTTGTTTTAGAGACATCTCTCATATTCTCATTCTATTGTATTTTTGGAGCTTGAACCCTTTGGGAGATAATTGGAGAGAGCTCCTCCAGAGAAGATTTCTTAAACTCTTTTACTTCTTCTCTTAATTTCTTTATGCTTTCTATTCATAACATGTTGTTTGTTTCAATCTCCATGTCTGAGTAGTTTGCTTGTTAGGTTTAGGGATTCTCATTAGGGATTTAGATGAATTAGTAAATTGATTACCTGTTAGGATTAATCCATAGAGTTCTTCATCTAGGTTGTTCTTAATGCTAGTTCTAGATTGATCACCTAGAACTTGATCTTAGGATAATAGGTATTTGATCCGAGAGGGCACCTGTTACCTGAACTACTTTAGATGAGCCTGGTTTATAGGTGTGTAATAAGAATCGGCCTATCTACTAAGGTGAACATATCGAACCTGAATTTAATGCTAGTCTAGATCTAGGAATTCGCATCGAGAGGTGGAATTACTGATATTAGGCTTGTTAGTTATCGCATCGAGAGGTGGTTAGCTATTCATTAGTGATTTGAGTTCAAGAACGGTTCGTTAAATAATCCTAATTAATTTGCTAGATTTACTATTAGTTTATATCCTGAGAAATCCCTAAGTCTGACGTTTTCCCCATCTGATTTAAAACCCGATTTATTTGTTTTCTTTTAATTTTAATATTCATATTTTCTGTTTAGCTTAATTCGAACCATGTTAGTCTATTGTGTGAACACGAGAGCTTTGTGGAATTCGACCCTAAAGTACTGCAATTGATCTCTTATTTGAGAGAGTAGTCTTAGGATTTAACAATACTGAAAGCTATAAAATAATTATCTAAATCTTGAGAATTTGGCATTAAGAATTACCCGTATGGGATGAGTTACCCAATGGGATGAGTTATCTAAGGGATATGAGATATGAGTAATTTCTGATAATAGTTCAAGATGAGCCAATGACTTAAGCCACAAACTGAAACCACTCAAGCTTTATCCCTTTTCGACGCTATATAAGCTCAAGAATCACCCACATTACCAAAGAATCAACTCAAATCAAACAAAAAAAAATGATTTAAATGCTTCTTTTAAGTTAATGGGAAATGCGAGAGTTCAAAAGGGTTCAAAATGGTTAGATGTAGTTCAAAAGATTTAACTATATTACATAATGTACTAAATTTATCAAATATTATAACCCTAAACCCTGTTTGGGCAAGCTTTAAATATAAAATTTTATTCGTTAATACTAATTAACAATGACTCAAGTATACTAATCCATATAATTGACACAAATTACAAGAAGATTCAGAAGATACTGACTCAAGAGGGAGCACAACCAATCGCAAAAACAGGTCCAACAAAAACCAGAATCAAAAGGGACACAAACAGACCTGCTTGCTATGCTGATTTCCTGAAAAGATCACCGCCCATGAGTTACTCCTTCTCAGGTGAAGCAAAGATCAATTCGCGACGAACAAAAGGTATCAAAATTCAAATCCCTAAATTTGACTATGGGTTTCAATCGAAGAGCTCAAGAGGGAGTGTTAATATTCAATACAAATTGTTTTTTATTTATTTATTTATTTATCTAAGTTTCGGTTAAACAAAATATACATAATTCATATACTGATAAATATGAATAAACTGATGTCTCTTTGCAAAAATGTGTTTTTTTGCTGAAATAATAAATAAAAAATATTTATGAGCAGTTATTTTATTTAAAAAGGAAATAAAAATGTTTAAAATTTGAAAATAATTATGAGCAGTTAAATTTTTTTGAATGGGGAAGTGGCGCGTCAGAAGAAAGTTTTTTTTTGAAAAGTGTTATTACTAGGCTTTTGCGTCGGGGAAATTAATTGGGGGAAAAAAGTTTGTAAAGGGAAGGATACTCAAAGGGATAAACAAAGCGGCGAAGGTTAGTTTGCGACGAATTTTCGATTCTATTTTAGCCGGAATTCGCCAAATCCATTGTGTGAAATAAATTCCACTGAATTCTGTTCTATATGAGTGTGGTCTAGGTTTGTGTGCGACGAATTTTCGATTCTATTTTAGCTGGAATTCGCCAAATCCATTCTATGAAATGATTTCCACTATATTCTATTCTATATGAGTGTGGTCTTTTATGTACGTTGTTTTTGTAAACAAAAGTCGAGACTTTTTATGGGTAGAATTGCCTGATGGCTCTAATTTTGCAAGATGGATCCGGTAGAATTGCCTGAACGGCTATTTGAGCCTGGAGCGATAGAGGGGCGCAAGAAAGTTAACGCCAACACTGTCTTCTACTGGATTAAGGATATAAAACCCGTATTAAGTGATGATCATTGGAATAAATTGGAGAATTCTCAGTTTCGAAACATACTGCAAATGGGGGATCAGGTGAACTCGGTCCGGTTTATGCATCATATGCTGACTAGGCAGTTGGTAACCAAAAAAGAGTTTGAGTTGTGGTGGACATTTGCTGGAAAGCCCATGAGGTATGCTATCCAAGACTTCGCTTATGTAACTGGTTTGAACTGCACACAAAAAGAAAAAACAAAAAGCAGCGAAATGGGGGACATTTAGAAGTCGTTGTTTCCGAATAAATATAAAGCAACACCGGTAGCGATTATGAGGACTATGCTACTCGTACCTAGACAACTTGCAAAACTGAATGATTTGCAGTGCTTTAGGCTAGCCCTTCTTGTTCTGGTTGAAGGAGTTTTATGTCCCACAAGCAGTTCTAATGTCAATAATCCTTCTACTCCGACTCGAGCACAAGCATTGATCCTCCTTGTGAGCTTATTTCCATATAATCATCACTTATACATTAGAACAAACCACATTGACCATTCATTTCATTCATTCATATGACCATTCAACTCATTCATTCAATGACACTTCTTTAATTCATCGGCATATCTTGAAATTTTTCTTACAAAATCACCATAAGTTTAAAATTTATAAAAGGGATTATATATTTTCGTGGATTTATATTTTTCTCTGGTTATATTCTATATCATCAAAAACCATCAAAAAATCTTGTATTTGTATAGTAGAAAACAGTTGGAGATCACAAAATGTGAGAAAAATATTTAGTTTTCAATATATTTAACCTTGGATTATCAAAAAACATAAATACTCAAGTACATGTGTTACTTACCTATCCACTAGGTGGAAAAATATCTCTGCCACTTTACTATCTTTTGTTACTATGCAATCAGTGTATGCACATGCTCTCATAAGATAAGACAAGAAAGTGGCCACACTTAAGTTCCAAATTGAGAAAATGTATCGGACGGAGCTAACGGAGCGGATCAAGTGGATCAAGCGTATCAAGCTGAACAAAAGCAGATCAAGCAGATCTGGCGGATCAAAAGCGGATCAAGCAGTTCGAACACTTTAAATATGTGTTGAATGGTGAAAACGGATCATTCAATGCGGATGAAAACGTTAATGTTAAATAAAATATTTTACATAAACTATACATACTAAAAACAATCATATTAAAATAAATTTATAATACTGATTTAACATATTATTGTTCTTGTATTTAAAAATAGTTATAAATGCACTCAAATTAAATATCTAAAAATGTATTTCAATTTTGGATAAAATATTTTACAAAATAATATACATATTATTATAACTCACTAAAAATAGATAAGATAATGCAAGTAAAAATATAATATTTGTAATTGAAGTATTTTAAATCACTACTCGAAATATAAAGTAACATTTAGGTTAATATATGTTCTCGTAATATTTAAAGATAAGGATATTAACATAACTATAATGTATTTAATGATATATTTAATATTATAAATACCTCCAATTCAAATATATAGAAAGATAATAACGATTAACGAGTAAAAATTGATACATATTTTTGCCAAAATAAAAATTGATACCTATGAAAAACAAACACACTAACTCTTACTATGAGTAAAAAATAAACTTATTTTTACCTTTTAAATGACTGAAATAATTTAGAAACAAATAGTATCAATAGATTAAATAATTATCACTATTATTTTTAATAAAATAATTAAACTAAAAAATAAAAGCAAAAAATGCTTGAAACACACTAAATTGTTGAGGCTTTACTGTATCCAGCATATCTTACCTTTTATTCATGTATTTGAACCACAAGTGGTTCACTAATATTTTATTATTTTTTAAAATGAATAGTTTTATAATTGAATGAAAATAGTGAATGGCAACATAAAAGCAGTTCTCCCTTTCAAGTGTACCAACTGCCTTTTCTCCGTCACTTAATAGTGTGTATTCCTCGTTTTGTTATCCCAAAAATAAATTAACAATATTCAAGATATTTTATAAATTTGTGATTCTGTAAATTGGAAACGTACAGAAACCTTAAAGCGTTCCTTTAAGTTTCAGGATCATCAAGCCAATAATAGACCATTTAATTGCCAAACTGGCTTTATATCCCTCTTTTCTTTGCAAATCTAGATTTTAATATCCCTCAATGGGTAAAACTCATTAACTGAAGAAAAGAAACATTATGAGATAAAAAAAAGAGTTCAAAAAGCATTAACGCGCTAAATAGACGTTGACCCAGACGCCGTCTAATTAGGGCCTACGCGATTTTAGGCAGTTTAGACATTTATAACATAAAATATTTTAAATGTGTTATTAATTTATTATAGATTTAAGTTATATATATATATATATATATACATTATTTCAATATTATATAGTTTTTTTGATTAGTTAAAGACGAAATAATGATAACAAAACGTAAAATTGACATGTAATAAAAAAGCGTAACCAAAAAAACAAAATTATTTGAAAAACTAATATAAAAAAAAAGCAACACTAGAGGAGGGATTCGAACCTGAGATTGGGTAAGGCTTTAAAGGAGAACTCAACCAAATATGCTAAGTCATATTTAATACACTAATTCAAGGGGTATAGTGGATTTTAAGGGGTATAGTGGTAATTGCATCAACTTCCGAAGCCCTAATTCACTTCTCAGCCGATTGGTCCAGAGACAGAACAGAGAACAGTGTTCTCACTTCTCAGCCGATTGATCCAGATTTTTTTTTCTTCACCTCTCTTTCTCAATGGCCTCAACTTCTTCTCATAAACCTGATTTGGTTGATAAAACAGTAAAAGATTTGGTTGATTTGTTTGCTTATGCTCATCTTTTATCTAAACCCACTGAGAGAAAATATGTGCTCAACGCAACTGGCGACGAAGAAATGTTGGACTCTATTCCAATGATGCGCAATTTGATTTGTCCACCCGGTGATGATGAAATACATCGTAAGCCAGATATGGCGAGGATATGTAAGAAACATGCGAAGAAGTATTTGGAGAAATCAAATGAGCGAATCCCTGAAAAATTGGCCACATGTAAGATTTTGATTTTGTTCCCTAAATATTACATTATTCTATATACATTTCTTTTTGTGGTCAATGTTTCTGTATTTGATATACATTTAACGTATTATTGTTCATGTATTTAAAAATAGTTATAAATGCACTCAAATTAAATATCTAAAAATGTATTTCAATTTTGGATAAAATATTTTACAAAATAATATACATATTATTATAACTCACTAAAAATAGATAAGATAATGCAAGTAAAAATATAATATTTGTAATTGAAGTATTTTAAATCACTACTCGAAATATAAAGTAACATTTAGGTTAATATATGTTCTCGTAATATTTAAAGATAAGGATATTAACATAAATATAATGTATTTAATGATATATTTAATATTATAAATACCTCCAATTCAAATATATAGAAAGATAATAACGATTAACGAGTAAAAATTGATACATATTTTTGCCAAAATAAAGATTGATACCTATGAAAAACAAACACACTAACTCTTACTATGAGTAAAAAATAAACTTATTTTTACCTTTTAAATGACTGAAATAATTTAGAAACAAATAGTATCAATAGATTAAATAATTATAACTATTATTTTTAATAAAATATTAAACTAAAAAATAAAAGCAAAAAAATGCTTGAAACACACTAAATTGTTGAGGCTTTACTGTATCCAGCATATCTTACCTTTTATTCATGTATTTGAACCACAAGTGGTTCACTAATATTTTATTATTTTTTAAAATGAATAGTTTTATAATTGAATGAAAATAGTGAATGGCAACATAAAAGCAGTTCTCCCTTTCAAGTGTACCAACTGCCTTTTCTCCGTCACTTAATAGTGTGTATTCCTCGTTTTGTTATCCCAAAAATAAATTAACAATATTCAAGATATTTTATAAATTTGTGATTCTGTAAATTGGAAACGTACAAAAACCTTAAAGCGTTCCTTTAAGTTTCAGGATCATCAAGCCAATAATAGACCATTTAATTGCCAAACTGGCTTTATATCCCTCTTTTCTTTGCAAATCTAGATTTTAATATCCCTCAATGGGTAAAACTCATTAACTGAAGAAAAGAAACATTATGAGATAAAAAAAAAGTGTTCAAAAAGCATTAACGCGCTAAATAGACGTTGACCCAGACGCCGTCTAATTAGGGCCTACGCGATTTTAGGCAGTTTAGACATTTATAACATAAAATATTTTAAATGTGTTATTAATTTATTATAGATTTAAGTTATATATATATATATATATACATTATTTCAATATTATATAGTTTTCTTGATTAGTTAAAGACGAAATAATGATAACAAAACGTAAAATTGACATGTAATAAAAAAGCGTAACCAAAAAAACAAAATTATTTGAAAAACTAATATAAAAAAAAAAGCAACACTAGAGGAGGGATTCGAACCTGAGATTGGGTAAGGCTTTAAAGGAGAACTCAACCAAATATGCTAAGTCATATTTAATACACTAATTCAAGGGGTATAGTGGATTTTAAGGGGTATAGTGGTAATTGCATCAACTTCCGAAGCCCTAATTCACTTCTCAGCCGATTGGTCCAGAGACAGAACAGAGAACAGTGTTCTCACTTCTCAGCCGATTGGTCCAGATTTTTTTTTTCTTCACCTCTCTTTCTCAATGGCCTTACCTTCTTCTCATAAACCTGATTTGGTTGATAAAACAGTAAAAGATTTGGTTGATTTGTTTGCTTATGCTCATCTTTTATCTAAACCCACTGAGAGAAAATATGTGCTCAACGCAACTGGCGACGAAGAAATGTTGGACTCTATTCCAATGAT